AGTCCCCAATACTGCAAAATAAAAAATAAAAATACCCTGTGGCTTTTTCAGAAATAAAATTCAAAGCTTTACAATAGTCCACAAAGTACAAAGCATACGATATGATCCAAACTTAATCCTGTGACCTTACCTATTAACTTACATCCTCATTCTATTCTAGATGACATTAGCATCTTTACTGTTCCTCAAAAATACCAGCATAAGCCCGGTGCAGTGGCCTACACCTGTAATCCCAGCGGCTTGGGAGGCTGAGACAGGAGGATCTTGAGTTCAAAGCCAGCCGCAGCAAAAGTGAGGCACTAAGCAACTCAGTGAGACCCTGTCTATAAATAAAATACAAAATAGGGCTGGGATGTGGCTTAGTGGTGCCCTTGAGTTCAATCCCTGGTACCAAAACAAAAACAAAACAAACACCCAGTATATTACTACTTCTAGCCCCCTCCCCCCCCTCCACTTTGGTATATTGGGAATTGAACCCTGAAGTGCTCTACCTCCAAGTTACAACGCCAGACCTTTTAGATTTATTTTGAGACAGGGTCTTCCTAAGTTGTTGTGGCTGGCCTCAAAAACTTGCAATATTCCCACCTTAGTCTCCAGAGTAGTTAGGATTATACTTTTAGGTCTTTGCACCTAACAATTCCTTCTGCCTGGCAGTCTCTTCCCTCCACTGGATAGTATAATATTTCGAATCATAATTCAGATTTCTAATATTTAAATTTTACCTTATCAGAGTAGCTTTTCTTGACCCATTTGTAAATAATAATAAACAATTCCCTCCTAGTATACTCCCCATTTACTATTTGTTTTCTTCAGAGTGCTTATCACCAGCACACATTTTATATTTCTTTTCTTCTATCTTCCCAGAATGTAAATTTTATGACAACAGGAATTTCAAGGTTTGTTTTTGCTCACTTTTAGATTCCCAGTATATGACATACAAAAGTTTTTCATTAAATTATTGCTGAATTATTATTTTGTTGACATGATATTCTTTTATTTCACTCTACTCATATGCAACTTGAGGTACTGTTCCTATAAAATGAGACAATAAAAAAATGGTAACATAAATGTACCTGCTCAACTCGGAAAAGAAAATGCTGGCACAATAAACAGCATCATGTGGGGGACTGGGAAGACTGGTTGTAACTACAGCAGTTTGTATGATGTTCACTTGAGACTTCAAAGGGATACCGCTAAGAAACAGTCACATAATAGTACTTCACCTGAGCAATAGGAACTGCACACAAGGTTACACCAAATGCAGCCGCCACCGTTTTGTGCCATGGTCTTATTAATAAGCGTTTCCTAGAATTAACCACAACAGGAACACACTGTCGGTACCTAGAAATAGAAGCCAAACTTTTAAAGTGCGACCATCAATCTGTAAAAAGCCTCTATGACTTATTTGTAAGGGTTGGAAACGCAAACCAGGCCAAGCAGGACGTGAAAGTAGCCTAAAAGTGACACTAAGTGTGTCAGAACAGTGGGAGGCTTGGGGCCTGGAAAGCCCCTGCCTTGGGCCAAGGGTCGGGAGCTTTCCATCAGGTGTGGAAGTCTGAAATGTAGCTTCAAGGCTGCTACAAACTTGAAGCCAAATTAAACTCCTGCAAGCAGGATTTAGCTTTGCCCAAGAGCTCCGGCTAGAATCGCCTGGACAAACTGGCGAGACCTTGTCGCAAAACAGAAAATAACAAGGACTGTGGCTGAGCGGGACAGCCCCTGGTTTGGTCCCCAGTACGCAAAAGCAAAGCCCCGAGCGGACAGGTCGGGAGGGCAACGCCGACTTTGAGACGTCGTCTCCTGGCGCGCGCCCGCCGCGGAGACGACGTCCTCCACTTTTCTCTCTCTCCCTCCCCAGGCCCTCTCTCAACCCCCTCGGGACGCCGTCCGACTGATGGAACATCAGCCCGGGCTGGGGGAACTCGCTCTAGGGAGCCGGAGTAATGGAAAAGGGGAAGGCGAAGCTGGACCCAGGCGCGACCGAAGACGGAGGCGGAGCCCGAGTCCTACTGGGCTTCAAAGGGGGGCGGGACGCCGCGTCCAAAGGAAGAGCGCGCACCAAGGTCGGCGCTTCCGACCCGGCACAGTGCTCTCTGCGTTGCCTATCCTCCTCCATTTCTGCCCCAGTCCACGACCGCAGCCGTACCTGAAGAAGGAGACTACGCTTCTGGATAGCCAACTCCTCACAGCCGCCATCCCGCGGCGGGCGGACGCCGGACGCACACGCCGGAAGTGACGCAGCATCGCGAGCGGCGGGCGGGGCACCGCCTCCTTCACCTGAGAGGACCTGGCCCCCATGGCCACGCCCTCACCCGAGGAAGCAGTTAGGATTGGACAGATGGGGAGCGAGGGGGCGGGGCCCGGGGCAACGGCTGTAACGGCCGCGCCGGGCTCGCAACCGTTGTAGATTCCGCGCGGGGCGGGGAACGCCTTGGGCCAGAAGGCGCTGAGCTGAGTCGCGCGTGATGACACGAGCGATGGGTCGGGGTTTGGGTTGAGGCCGCCCCTCGAGGGGCAACCTGGGCGCGCGCGTCAGGCGCAGAGCTCTTTGGCTAGCCGGTCCGGCTGGGCTCAGCCGTCCGCCGAGGGGGGCGGAGCAGCGCCGGGTTCGTGCCCGGTGGGGGCGGGGCGCCGGCGCTGTCACTTCAGCACCAGGAAGTAGGTGGTCCAACCGGCCAGCAGCAGCGCCCCGATGAGTACCGTGTAGCTGAGGAGAACGAAGGCGAGCAGCTCCCGCAGCACCTGCAGCACGTGGATGGTGGACGACGCCGGCATTGCCCTGCGGGAGCCGTGGAAAGACCCTGAGCTCGCAGAGGACAGCTCCCGAGCCAGCCCCGTCCTGGGCAGGGGTTGTGGCGGAAAACAGGTCCTGGCCCTCAAACTGAGACCCCAACAGTGCCAATTCTTCCAAAACACCCTCCGCTTTGCATTTGCAGTGGAGAGCTGCTTCTAAAGCAAAAGTCGCTCTCATTCTTCCGCTCAGATCTGGGCTCCGAGGAGGCAAAAGCCTGGTCCTTTCCAGCCCCAGCCCTCTCCTACTCCTGAATTTTTAATGCCGCGGGTGCCACTAATGGGCTTGTGGAGTAAAGCTTGCTTTTCCCATCACTCAAGCTCAGCTCTGGGAAGGAAGGGAAGGCACAGGCCTTCACTGTAGCCCCTCTGCCATTTCCCTGGCCCCAAGGCTTCTCAATAGCAGACTTTGAGGATTTTTGCTTTGTAAAGTCCAGCATGCTTGTCTTCTGGCCAGCCAGGATTGCTGGGGTGCCAAACTGATTGCTGGAGCATCAGTTTGACTGGGCTTGTCTCCCTTCCACCGTGTCTTGTGCATCTGTCCCAGCCCTCCTAACTTCACCTCAGACAGAATCCAGTGGGGTAAGAATCAAAGCAGCTTTTTACCTTCTTTGCTGCCTGCCCAGCAGCTCCCCTCAGTGCCAGCCATTAGCTTCCCTCTTTCCCTATTTCACTCACTTGGCAAAGTTTCCACGACTCTTCCACTGTCGCAGCTTGTGGCTCCTCTCTGTTCTGGTGCTAAAGGTTGGCTTCTGCACACTCCAGCGATCTGAGCAGAGCTGTGAGGTCTTCAGGCAGCAACCGCTCTCAACAACTAGGTGTGGTCTAGCGACCAATTACAACCTCGGTGTGGTCCCTGAGCTCTCAGGAAACTGCGCAGGCAATCCCCAGGCCAGGCGGGGCACTGGCAACTCTGTCTGCCCTCTCCTGTATCACCTCCATGGCCCACAGGGCTCCGCAGGAGTTTGCAAAATTCCTGGCTCAAATGGGCTCAATAAGCAATACACTAGGGGGTATTTCAAGCCTCTTCTTGTCTTGCTAGTCTAAACACTTTAGGTGGACTATGGTGCCAATAGTTCTAATAAACAAGTCCCATCTACTCAATCTGGAAAGCCATTGCCTTAAAATACGGGAGAGCATGCGGTGCGTGTGAAAACCAAGCTTAGATGACCAAGGGCTCCAGAGTACTAGATTCTAATTTACGAAGAGTTTAGCAGTTTACAGACTCCTTACACAGGCATCTTCCCAGGCATCTGTTTCCAATGTCAAGCCTCCAAATGTGAGGCTAAAGGAGCCAGGTGGGAAAGCAAAGAGCATTTTCCCAGAGGTAACAAGGAAAAGTATAAACTTTATGCTGCTTCTGATTATTTTGCTTATACTAGATTTTAGTTAAAGACTTTTTTGACCTTTGAAAAAGCAGGTACTGTGGATATCAACCATTTTATAAACATCATCATTCAGGAGCAAATGGTTCCTTAATTTAATCAGGATCTCTTATTATCAAATCATTGCCTTGGCCACAGCCTAACTAAAAACATGAGCAGAACATTATCAAGCTGCTCAGGAAGTAGTAATTGCTCCCCCAGAGAATTGGTCATCTGAAGGGCTTCAATGTCTTACCTTGTCAGAGGAAAGAAAGGATGGCTGAGATTTATAACCTTGCCCCATAACAAATAAGATAAAAAAAGTCGGGCTGTTCAAAGTAGGACCTATTCTGTGCGCTTTTAAGCTCTTATATCCTTCAAATGGCTATGTCAAGACAGTTACATGATCTAAACTTTGCAGCTTCTACTCACCCCCCAATTTGGGGATTTATTTATTTTTTTAAAAAGAGAGAGAATTTTAATATTTATTTTTTAGTTTTTCGGCGGACACATCTTTTTTTTTTTTTTTTTTATGTGATGCTGAGGATCAAACCAGGGCCGCAAAAGGCGAGCGCGCTACCGCTTGAGCCACATCCCCAGCCCCCAATTCGGGGTATTTACAGAAGTGGAGTAATTGAAGCTAAGAATGGCCACATGACATGAAAGCCTCATGAATTTGTTTAGAAGTTAGAATCTGAGAACTTTTATATCATTGCCCTTTCCTTCAATTTTCTGACAAAAAAGCATTCTCTATTTTCATAGTATGTGATTAAACCATAAGATTGCTGGGTTAGGCGTGGGGATATAGCTCAGTTGGTAGAGTGCTTGCCTCTTATGTGCAAGGTCAGCACCACATATGCACACACACAGGGAAAAAAACAAAACAAAACAAAAGCCCTGCTGGGTTTGGTGGTGTACGCTTAAAATCCCAGCCACTTGGGAGGCTGAGGCAGTAGGATCTCAAATTTGAGACCAGTCTTGGCAACTTAGCAAAACCCTATCTCAAAAGTAAAAAATCAAAAAGGGCTGGGTGTGTAACTTAGTGCTAGAGCATCCCTGGGTTCAATCCCCGCTAGTGCAAAACAAAACACAGGACTGAATACATCAGATACTATCTAGAGTACAGTTCATCATCTACAGATGGTCTGTGAGGCCTGCTTTCCTGTGCCTTGCTATCTTTATCACAGCCTCTCTTCCTGCCTACTTTAGTCACCTAGTATTTTAGTATTTTCTAAAAAAGTATTTTTGCTTGAATTCAGCTGATGAATACAAACACTTCTGTGCTTCTGTTGAGTGACAGGCCTTTTTTTTGGTGCTGGGGCTTGAACCCAGGGCCTTTTGCATGCTAACACACACTCTACCAATGAGCTTCACTCATCCCCAATCCTTGAATGTCTGTTTTTTAATCTTTCCTTTCTTAACTGTTACACTCTTACTCCACAATTAAATCAGTTAAAATACTTATTTCCCTGTTGGATGAAATTCGCAACTGTATAAGACACAAAACAGTAAGCCCAATTAGTCTTTAACATACAATTGAGAATAAGACATAAACCAGCTTGAAAATTCATTTCCAGTGGGAGTAGAATGGAACAAAACTCAACAGACCTTTTCAATTCTCTCCAAGAATGAAAATTACATGTTTTTTGGGTTTTTTTATTTTTGGTTTGGTTTGGTAGTTCTGGGGATTGAACCTAGAGCCTTGAGCATGGTAGGCAAGTGCTCTACCAACTGAGCTACACTCTCAGCCCCGACATGTCCAGTTTTTAATCTTTCCTCTCTTAACCATTACTCTTTTGCTCCACAGTTAAAATACTTATTTCTCTGTTGGGTAAAATTCACAATTGTATAAGAATTATATGTAATTATACATAATTATCTACGTAAGCCAGATGTGGTGGCCTATGCCTATAATCCTAGCAGCTTGGAAGGTGAAAGCAGGAAGATGCCATATTCAGGGCAACTTATAAGACCCTGTCTCAATATAAAAAATAAAAAGGGCTGAGGATGTAACTCAGTGGTAAAGTCCAGTGCCCCTGTACTCAATCCTCAGTACCAAAAACAAAACAAAAACAAAAAACCCCCACAAAAAGTGGTTATCCATGTAGACCTCTTTATTAAAGGGACACTGTCTACCCAATAGACAAAAATCCAGACCCAATGTAAATAATCTGCCTCTCTGAGAATAAATGTGCCATTCACATATCCTTTCTCAATTTCAAGTATTAAATAAATGTCCACAAACACATATAATATGTAATTATCCACCACTTTTTCTTTGCATACAAATGAAGTAATTGATGTCTCATCAATGTTGAATGCATTTTTAGACGCTGACCTAGCTATGCTCTGAGTAAGCAAATGCAGAGTCACAAGTGAATGCAGACACATGAGATTACAACTGAGTGTCTGTTTATAGAACAGAACCCCCAGCCAAGGAGACTTGACCAGACCTGAATTGAATCCCATGAACCAAAACCACGGAGGGACAAGATAGATTTCATTCTCTAAAGGAGCTGAGGCTGAGACAACTGTTAGGGCTCCAAAGTATAAACTAATCTCCCTGGAATAACAAGGATTTGAAAAAGGATTTTCTAAAACAAGAATGGTTTTCCATTTCCAAATAATGAACGTCAAGGCCAGATTAATTCCATGAGAAATCTTTTAAACATCACCTCTGCCACCCTTCATCATTTTACTAATTTTTTTTAAATACAGATTTTCTTTTACGCGTAACATGCACCATACTCATCAGAATCCTACTACTGAAAAAGGTAAGGGAAAAACCTATGTGATTAATAGTTAATGATAGAAACCACACCAGGGATGGAATCTGGCAAAGCTCCCCAGGTTGGTTTTCTCCTGGTTGACCAAGTAATTTTGCTGGAAACTTGGGCAATGGCAGAAAAGCTACCAACTTGGTCCCCTGCATGGTACCCTTAACTCCCCCAGATGCTGGGATGAGCAGAGGAGAGGCAGGGATCACATATGAACTTCGAACTTCTCCACTCACATCCCTACTGTCCAGCACAGCTAACAGTCCTCAGTAGGAATAGTGGCAGCTGAGGTCACCAGATCTCATCAATGAAATCAACCAGGGGCAGCTGAGGTCACCAGATCAAGGACTGCAACCAAACTGAATATTTTCAAGCAAAATGGATGAAAGTGGCCACTGGGAGCTACAGAAGTGCACAGAGTAGTTGGTAACAGGGGTGGAGTTTCAGTATGCTGATGAAGCAAGAGTCACCACTGCTCACGGTGGGACCAACTAGATGTTGGGCCCATGTGGACAGGGAAGAAAACCTAAACCTCAACAGAGGCATCTGTCCTGGAGTGGTTAAATTCTCTGGAAACTGTTCCCCAATTATTATATTCTTCAGTGTAGAAATAGAAAGCCCTTGATAAGTATGGAACCTACACAGATGTAGCTGATCAGAGAAAATATAAATTTTGTGTTTTGGGGCAAGAAGCTCCCTAAAATCTCTTGATGTTTAAGAAGGAAACAAAACTTGCCTTAGGAATAAGATAGAAATTGAAAACACAATTATAATGTGCCATTCCTCTACAGGAAAAATAAATCACTAAGGACAACATTAAGCTCTAGCCCTCAACACATGACCACTATCATAGGCCTGATGCATTTCCTAAAAATATAAAACTGTAGACTAGAAGTTGGACTTCCCCTTCTATTTTCATTTTTACCTCCACAGTGTCTGTGTTCTTATTTTAAGAGCTGTCCCCATTTGTATAGCTATATGGATTATCCAGTCCCACCATCTTTACTGCATTTCCAGAGTCCTATAATGAAGATCCTGAACTTAGAAAATTCAAAACCAAAGTCTCTTTTACCCAGGTTAATTTTCTTCTTCTTTCTTCAAGAAATTATGAACACAGAGGAGCAGAAAGGAGTAAAGGAACAGAAAATAGTATAAGAAGCAAAACACAAAGTAACTTCTGTATTCCTGTTTCTTCTGTGGGTTCACTTCCTTTCAGCAACTTGTTCAAAAGGCAGCTTATTCTGTAGTGCACTTGTGAAGTCTCCTTTGAACACCCTAGAAAGGTTTCTCCATTAGAGCCTCTATCCAGCTAGTTCCATTCATTAGTTTAGTGGTGGCAATTACATACTCTGTACCTCCATCTTCCAACTGGGAGAGAAACCTTAGGGCAGCAATTTCAGCAAAGGTTACACCCCCGAGGAAAAATATCAGAGTAACTCGGTTTTCTCCTGGTTGACCTAAAATGTAAACATTTCAGAATTCAGAAGTAATTATTATTGGTGCCTTTCTTCCTGCCTCTTAATAGATTTTTCAAAACTCATAAGAATAAAAAAGTCAAATATGTCTTAGTACAGACAGCTCATTTGAAACCAGGAACACTGATTTTAATCTTAATGCTTTTTCAAACTCCTGAGAGCCTCACTGCGGAGACTGAGAGTTGTTCCTCCCAAGAGAATAATATGGCTCAACTAACAATATACATTAGCAAGTAACAGAAGAGGTACACTTGACTCTGATACCTAAGTACTTTACAAATGTCTTTTACAAAGCAGCTGCACAATACATGAAAACCACACTAATGGCACATAATTATCTGTAGACACTGGACTGAGACTTACGTTTTTTTTGAAGCCCTGTGGGCAGTGGCTGCCGTTCTTCAAAGTGGGGGCCTGGGAGGATGCGAAGAACCTCCTCGATACTCCGCCAGCCAGGCCTGGAAAGCAGCTGAGCCAGTCGCACACTGAGGGGGGCATAACCACTGTACACATAGGATATGTCTGTGGGATTCTGTCAAATAAATAAATAAATAACACCTGGAGATAGAGATTCAGAGCCACCTGTACCTTTAGAGGAGCCCCAAATTACCTGATTTGAAAGCAGAAACACAACTCTCTCACCCATGCCCTGCTCCAATCCACCCCAAATGGACTTTAGTTTCGCCAGCTAGGACTTCATTTTGACTCAAATCTTGAAAATTCACTCAAAGAAACTCTGGGTATTGAAGATGAATAAGTATCATTTGATTTGCCAAAAAATTTCTTAGATGGTACCATGACACTTTAGCTGAATAATAATGCCTACAAACCTTTGAACCTAGCAATTATATTTTTAGGCATTTATCCTACAGAGGTGCTTTTAGACCATTAGAGATAAACCAAAGAAAAAAACATATTGATTGTAACACAGTAATTGCAAAAGGCTACAAACTGCCAAAATTTCTATCTTAGGAATCTGTTAAATCACAAAATAAGGAATATCCTTAAAACCACCCTGTGGGGACTAGGGATGTAGCTCAGTGGTAGAGTGTATTCTCAGCAATGTGCAAAGCTCTGGGTTCAATTCCCAGTACCAAACAAATAACAAATCAAAAGCCCACTAAGTAGCAATTAAACAGAATGACTGGTGTGATTCTGTCTGCACATCTGTTCTCTGAGGAAACAGTCATATATTTTCCATTCTTCTCTCCCACCTAAATGCATGCATGGAAGATTCAATGGACATGAACATGAGCCCCTTGAGGACCCAGAACTATCTTTTCAGCTAAAGGCTGACAAAGATTATCACATTAAGGTGGATACTGATGAAAATGAGCACAGTTTCTCTTGGGGGCTTTGATATTACACCACCTGTGGACTTAAATTGGAAGTGTGGTTTGGGTCCTGTGCATATTAGGGGACAGCACTTCCTAGTTCTGTAGAAGATATTAATGCAAAAATGCAAGCAAATATAGAAAAAGGTGGTTCTCTTCCCAAAGTGGAGAAGCCAAGTTCATCAATTACGTGAAGAATTGCTTCCAGATGATGGACTGATCAGGACGCTATTTAAGATCTCTGGCAGTAGAGGAATTTTCTTTAAGAAAATAGTTTGTTAAAATTTTCCATCTTATTTCATTTCTGCAATAGTTGATATCTGGCTGTCCTTTTATAATGCAAAGTGAGAACTTTCCCTACTGTTTGATAAATGTTATCCAGGTTCCACTGCCAAGAATGTGTTGTTCAAAATGCCTGTTTGGTTTTTTAAGATGGAACTCCACCCTCTGTTTGGTTTTTAACTAACTATATATGGAATGTTATGATAGGACATAGTAGTAGTTGTGTTCAGACATGGAAATAGTTGTGAAACAAAAATATAGACATGTGAAATAAACTCAGTATTTTATTTTTTAATATTTTTTTTAGTTGTAGATGGACATAATATCTTTATTTATTTATTTATGTAGTGCTAAGGATTGAACCCAGTGCCTTGCACATACTATGCAAGTGCTCTACCACCGAGCCACAACCCCAGCCCCTAAACTCAGTATTTTGATAAAGTAAAAATAAAAAAGAATGAGAAAGAGCAGGAAGGATCACCGAAGCATCTTCAATATCTCTAGTTAAGTGATAGGTGGGTTTGGAGGGAGGAAGATAAGAATGGTAAGGAGAGCTGAACTAATAGATTATGCACATGATGCAACACAAAAATTAAGGGTATCTATTTTCCCACTGGGGGAAAAAATAACCCAATTTTGCTATTGATGGAGAATACTAGTTATAAGCATTTCTTAACAAAGGCAGTCCAAAAAAGTCCCCCAGAAACAAACAAACAAACAAAAGCCTAGAAAACAAAAACCAACCAACCAAATAAAAAAGACAATAAGAAAAAAAATTTAGAACTATTACAAAATACAACAAATGGAAGCCAGGCATGGTAGCACATGCCTGCAATCCCAGCTACTTGGGAGGCTGAGGCAGGAGGATCACTAATTCAAGGCCAGCCTTGGCAACTTAGCAAGACCCTGTCTCAAAATAAAAAATAAAAAGGACTGGGGATACAGTTCAGTGGTAGAGCATCCCTGGGTTCAATCACTAGTACAAAAAAAATAATAATAATAAAAATAAAGCTAACAAATGTAAAGCAAAGTATACATGGGCTGGGGATGTAGCCCAGTTGGTAGAGTGCTTGCCTTGCATGCACAAGGCCCTGGGTTTGATCCCCAGTGCGCTCATGTGTGTGCGCACACACACACATACACTACACAAATGTATATGCTACTTCGGAGCATAAAAACGTTTGTATGTGCATAGAATCTTTCTAGAAGAGTAGATTACAATTGGTTCCAGTGGTTTTACTCTGCAGGAACTGGGTAAGCTGTGGAACTGACTGATTCTTGCTGGTCATTTCCCATCAGCACCTCCTGAGGTTCCCCAACCTTCTCCACAGAGCTCTGTGCCCTGGAGATGGCCTGGAGGTGCTATGTCAACACTCTCCCACACCCTGTTTGTGTTTGCACAATTGCATGGGGAGGGGTGGTGGAGGGCAGCTGGAGAGTAGGCAGCAGCATGAGGTCAAGGCTTGTACCTCCCTGCCTTCTATCTGTGACACTTCTGGGGGCTGGATGTGTGTCTCTACAGTTTTCATCAAGCTTTCTAGAATAACTTCTCTGCCCTTCAGGCCTCAGTTGGTGAGGACTCACCACTGCACTGCCTACTAGTCTCTACTGGTTCACATCTTTATTTTTTTTAGGTACCAGGGATTGAACCATTGAGCCACATCTCTAGTCCTTTTTATTTTTCGAGACAGGGTCTTGCTAAGTTGCTTAGGGCCTCACTAAGTTGAAGCTGGCTTTGAACTTGTGATCCTCCTGACTCAGCCTCCTGAGCCTCTGGGATTATAGGTGTGTGCCACTGTGCCTGGTGCCCACATCTTTATTAATCCTCAGGCTCTCCAGTTTGATAGCATTATGTTTCCTCCTGAGATTCTGATGGACACAACACACAAATGCATTACTTTTTCAAAAAATATTAGATGTGTAGATTAAGTAGCATATGTTGTCACAATAAACTATGAAACCAGTAACTGACTGCAGTTAAAGTGGAGGAGTGCATCTTACTTGTTCGTTAACATCATCCATCCAGAGGCGTAATGTTTTCCGAATTGTTGGGTAGTTGTTTCTGCCCCCTGTCTGTGGCTTTAGCAGGCCGGCCTTCTCTAGGTTGTACAAGGTCAGTATGTGCTCATAGCCATAGGTCTGCAAGAGAAATAATTTGGCCTTGATGTCAGATCAGGAAAGGGGCTTCTTCAATTTTCAAAACAGAGCACTTTGAACAAATCGATTTGATCTGTACTTCAGACAAAATAACAAGGTCCAGCAATAACTCCTGATGAGCACAGGGGACAGGGCATGCTTGTCCATTAATATTAAGGCAGTTCATTGTTTCATAGTAGGATTTAAATATATTTTTTAAAAATTTATTTAAATATAAAAAAATTTAAATATATTTTAGTTGTAGGTGGACACATACCTTTATTTTTTATTTATGTTTTTGTGGTGCTGAGGATGGAACCCAGGGTCTCACACATGCTAGGCAAGTGCTTTTCTACTGACCTACAACCCTAGCCCAGGATTTAAAATTTTTAAAGTCAGAATTTATGGGCTCAACCTAAGTAAGCATCAAATAAATTCTATTTATATGTGGTATATGATTAGCTCTAAAAAAGGATGAGGCAGATCTACACATTCCAATAAGAAGTTGGAGATGGACACATTTATTTACTTTTATGTGGTGCTGAGGATTGAATCCAGTGCCTCACATATGCTACGCAAGCGCTCTACTAATGAACCACAACCACAGCCCATGAATATATTTTTAAGGACAAAAAAGAGTTAATAATAAAATATTATGTATAATAGGATTTTATTTCTGCTTTTAAAAACGATATAAATAGTAGCCAAAACCTGCAAAATACTTTCTATCAGCTGAGCATGGTTCTGGCCTGAGCACTTCATATTCTTTTATGGCTCAGTCATCCTCATAAACCCATAAGGTAGCTGGGCATGATGGTACACACTTATAATTCCGGCGACTCTGAAGACTGTAGGAGGAGGATCACAAGTTCCAAGCCAGCCTCAGTTTAGTGAGGCCCTAAGTAACTCAGCAAGACCCGTCTCAAACAAAAAAAATCCCCCAAAACCAGGAGGTAGGTATTATCTCCATTTGAGTTACTTATTTGGTATCTGAGACTGAACCTAGAGGTGCTTAACCACTAAGCCACATACCTAGCCTTTTTTATTTATTAATTTATTTATTTAAGTTTTGAGTCAGGGTCTATAGTCCACGTCCTGAGTGAGCTATGGAAACCAGGGTCATTCGGGTGAATTTGGGCTGACGCATACAATTCACACAGACATGGAAAATACCTTTGTCTGGGCATTTAGGATGGCTTCTCCATTTCCAGCTGTAAGCTCCCACAAGGTGGGCAAGAGAAAAACACAGGAGGCTGGTGAGAGAGAAGGAGCACGTCCTGAAGCTCAGCTTTTATTGGGGGAAGCTAGTCAATGGAACATTCTATCCAAAAAAGGGCAAGTGGTAGGTTTATAACAGGTGGGTGTAACTCAACTCCATCAGGTAACACCCAATCCCAGAGCTGCACCTCTCCTGGACGAGCAGAGGTAAGTCCACATGCATTGCAGTGGGCACAGTGCCAATCCAGTACCTCTTTACTCAAGACTCAAAGATGCCAGGGCTGGGGATGTGGCTCAAGCAGTAGCGCACTCGCCTGGCATGCGTGCGGCCCGGGTTCGATCCTCAGCACCACGTACAAAGATGTTGTGTCTGCCGAAAACTAAAAAATAAATATTAAAAAACTCTCTCTCTCTCTCTCTCTAAAAAAAAAAAAAAAAAAAAGACTCAAAGATGTGTGCATAACTCTTGTTCAGGGAAGCCCCCCAACAAGGGTCTAAGTTGTTGAGGCTGGCCTTGAACTTGTGATCCTCCTGCCTTAGTCTCCCAAGTTTCTGGGATTACCAAGCCTGCACCACCAGGCCTGGCTTCATTTGAGACTTTTAAAGAACTTGCCCAAGGTCACACAGCCAATAAAAGCAGAGCTGAGCCAGGATCCAGCCAGTATCACTCTGACATCTATGTACATAAATGCACTTTGAATACATTTGAAAATAGGAGACTGGAAGGATCCACACCAAATGGCTGATATGGGACACATCTGAGGAGGGACATGGGACTGAGTATGGGTCTGAGGGATGTTCATCTTTTGCTCCATGTATTTCTGCATCCTTGGAATCTTAATGCATATGTATGCTTTATGTATAACTCAAAAAAAGACAAATGCAAAAAAAAATTAACGAGTCCTTAATTTTAATGATAATAAATTTAAGAATACAGGTAACAGCAAATAAATACTGCCTGAGACATTTTTGAACAGGGGGATTTTTTAAAATAGCAGAGGAAGCAAAACAAAAACAAAAACAAACAAAAAAACAAGCAAAACCAAAAAATAAAAATACATACATAAATAAAACAACTGTGAACGTCTTCCTTATTATAAAGTATTAGGCTTGGGGTGGAGTTGTAGCTCAGTGGCAGAGCGCTTGCCTAGCATGTGTGAGACTCTGGGTTTGAGCCTCACAAAGATAAATAAATAAAATAAAGGTGTGTCCATCTACAAATTTTTATATATATATTTATTTATTTAAAAAAATAAAGAAACAGTTTATTTCTGATAGTAGTTCCTTAACAGGGAACTGTTATCAGAAATTTGCAAAGTTATCTTCCTCCATCATGCAACTGGCTCACTGAGGTGAACATTAGGCCTAAATTGCCTGGGTTTTGGCACTGGTTTTGACATTTACTAGCTGGTGACCTTGGGCCAGTTATGAAACTAGTATATCCCTTAGGGGTTTCATCCACAAACAGGGGATGATAAACTCATCGGGCTGTTGTGAGAGTTAAACAAAAGTATATTCATAAAGCTCTTCAGATAGGCCCTGGCACACAGTAAATGCTCAGTAAATGCTTGCTACTGTTCTTACTATCAGATACAATAAATAACTATAGTTAATCAGAACAATTCCTCTAGGTGTTAAAAAATTTAAGATTGTGGTAGCAATATACCAAAATAGCCATTTTGTCACTTTCTTTTTGCTTTCCCCATTGACCAATAAAAGACTTTAATATATCTTACCTGGAGAATTTCTCTTTTGTAGTAATCCAAGACTTTTTGTTTGAGTCCACTATTGCACACTGACTGGAGGCAGAGCAGCCTTAAGACCTTGGTCAGTGGATGCTTTTGGGCGATGCAATCCTCTATGTAATTGTTGACCTAGAAATAAAGTATATACATAGACTGTTGCTTTTAGAGACTTAAAGAACTTGATGTTTAGAATTATTTTTCTAAGTTAAAGAAAGGAGATGTGCAGGAGAAAGGCTCATTATTTTTTCTCACTTCTCAACCCTGACTAAGGTAGCTACCTCAGCCCCTGCCACACACACTCCCAGGCACCACACAGACACACCAGTTCTCAGGTCAAATTACAGGAGCACCAAGCAGTGAAGACAGCTGTGGCCAGTCCCAATGCCTGCCCTGACAGGTCTATTTCTGTGGACAAACTCCTGAGAGATTGCCAAGTGTTTGGGACTTGTGGGACCTAGCCTATCTCAAGAAAAGCAGCAATTTAGTGTAAAATAACAGGAATATTTTTAGAAGATGGGAATTTTCACAAATGGAATAATTTAGATAATTAATAAGGCTGAATTTTTTTGGGGGGTGGTGGTGCTAGGGATTGAACCTGGGGCCTTGTGCAAGCTAGGCAAGTGCTCTACCATTGAGCTACACACTAAGCCCCTATGGCTGAATATAAAGTCATGATATAACAAATTCTCTCGAAAAGTAAATATCTTGTTTTTGCTTTTTGCAGACTGAACCCAGGGCTTCATGCATACCTGGCAAGCCCTCTACCACTGAGCTAAATCCACAGTCCCAAAAGCAAATATCATTTTTTTAAAGTTTTTTCTTTTTAGTTGTAGATGGACACAATACCTTTATTTTGTTTTTATTTTTATGTGGTGTCAGGGATCAAACCCAGTGCCTCACACATGGTAGGCAAATGCTCTGCCACTGAGTCACAGCCCTGGCCCCCCAAAAGCAAATTTCTTAATTTACTTATTATAGTCTTTAAAAATCTTGGATTTCAGGGACCATATCCCATTCACCATGTATTGCGCAAAGTATCTTACATAGAGTAATGCTAAGTATTTTTACCCGACAAAATCCACATTTTCACATTTTGCATTTGCTCATAAAATTATTTAGGCATGGCACAGGTATCAAAGCAATTGTTTATTTGACTACAATCTTACGTTTGGTAAACTTTCAACTATTTGTTATAACAGTTTTATTGTCTACATACCTTGTCAGTGTCTATTCCAGACATAAACTCTTGTTCCACTGTTAATTTATCAAAGAAGTCTTCAGAAGCTAAAATATAATTAGCAAATTTTCAACTCAGAAATTCAATAAAAGTGAATTTGTTTAAGTGGTTTGCTTTTATACACAAGGTGTGATTAAGAAACAGGACATGCAAAAAAGAAAGCAAGCACAAGTTCAAATCATCAGCCAATGAGTGTATTTTACCACTGAGCTACATCCCCACTTTTTTTTTTTTTTTTAATTTTGAGACAGGATCTCACTAAGTTGCTTAGGGTCTTGGAAAGTTGTTGAGGCTGGCCTCAAACTTATGATCCTCCTGCCTCAGCCTCCTGAGTCACTGGGATTACAGGAATGCATCATTAATGCATTATGAGTTAATGAAAACTCATTTCCCAAGAGTATTTCACTTTTGTCATCAGATTCAACCAATTTGATTTCCACTTCTGTTAACATAAAATCAAAGGACTGATTTTCTAACACAATGTTTAAGATACAAAGAATACTTCATAATCCAAGGCACTAAATAGGTTGTAAAAGCTGAGTAGGAGTAGGCACGCCTACTCAGCTTTTACAACCTATTTAAAATTTTTTTTTTAGTTGTAGATGGACATAATACCTTTATTTATTTTTTTACGGTGTTGAGGATCGAACCCAGGGCCTCACATGTGCTAGGCTAATGCTCTAGCACTGAACCACAACCCCAGCCCCAACAACCCTATTTTTTTTTAGAGAGAATTTTTTTTATATTTATTTTTTAGTTTTCAGCGGACACAACATGTGGTGCTGAGGATCGAACCCAGGCAGCACGCATGCCAGGCGAGCGTGCTACCGCTTGAGCCACATCCCCAGCCCAACAACCGTATTTTTAAATGAACAAACTCAGATCCAGTTTAGTAAAAATCTGAGCTTTTTTCAAAATACTCAACACAGGCTTTCTGTACCAATTTTGCAGAATACTCTCAAGAGAAAATAAAATTAAAAAAACCCCAGAAACACCATATTGTTCTAATTAAGTAATCCTTCACAATAGGAAAAAAAAATAGACTAAAAAAATTAACTGCCTATTAATATGAGAGCAATATTATGCATAAATTTGGGACAGGGGGCAGGGTAGGGGGATTGAATCCAGGGCACTTTACCACTAAGCTACTTCCCCAGACCTTTTTTATTTTTTTACTTTGAGATAGGGTCTTGCTAAGTTGCTGGACTCCTGTGTGATCCTCCTGCTTCAGTCTCCCAAGTTGCTGAGATCACAGGTGTGTGCCACTGCACCTGGATGCATAAATCTTTTCTCTTATCTATATTCTAAATATTTTGTCATCACTAACTGCTAATGTGCACATTTACTTACTACTGAGAAACATAGGATGTTAAAACAGCTGACTGGGCTGGGTGTGTAGCTCAATGGTAGAGCACAAGCTTTGTATGAGCAAGGCCTTGGGTTGCATCCTCAGTGCAGAAGGAGTAAAAAATGCTGACTTTCCCAAGGAAGCCTCAGTGTGTATGGGAGTCAGCTCCAGGTGGAAGATCATGTCAAAGGATACTTACTAGTGACGTCTTTGATCAACTCTGCAATCGAGGTATGATTTGCAAGTGAGCCCCTTGCTGCCTGCATGTGGGGCAACTGGGAAACAAACTGCTTAATTTCCCCCACAGTCTTGGCGTTGTGCCTTTCCTGAAATAGACAAGAGGGCAGCGCCATCAGCAGCAAAGACATTTCAGATGACCGCTAATTACGTTACTGCGAAAGAGTGGACACATACTAGTCAGGCCAAACCCGTCCAACATCACACAGAACAGGAAAGGTAAATATATCACTGAAAGAGGCTGGGGATATAGCTCAGTTGGTAGAGTGCTTGCCTTGCATGCACAAGGCCCTGGGTTCGATCCCGGCACTAAAAAAAAAAAAAAAAAAAAAGCCATAAAAATCTAAAATAATTTGGGCTGGGGATGTGGCTCAAGCATGCATGAGGCCTGGGTTCAATCCTCAGCACCACATACAAACAAAGATGTTGTGTTTGCCGAAAACTAAAAAAATAAATATTAAAAAAAAAAAAAACCCTCTCTCTCAAAAAAAAAAATTAAAAAAAATTTTTAAAAAATCACTGAAAGAGTTCATGGAGTCTCTTAACGACATTAGCACTTCTTTATTATTATTATTATTTTTTAGTTATAGATGGACACGATATCTTTATTTTTTTTTTTTATGTGGTGCTGAGAATTGAACCAGTGCCTCACATGTGCGAGGCGGGCGCTCTGCCACTGTGACACAGCTCCAGCCCCAGCACTTCTTTTTTTTTTTTTTAATATTTATTTCTTAGTTATAGTTGGACATAATTCCTTTATTTGATTGTATGTAGTGCTGAGGATCGAACCCAGGACCCCGTGCCTGCCAGACGAGCGCGCTACCACTGAGCCACAACACTAGCCCCCAGCACTTCTTTTTTAACAACAACAAAAAAATATTTCTTTTTTAGTTGTAGTTGGACACAATACCTTTATTTCACTTATTTATTTTTATGTGGTGCTTAGGATCGAACCCAGGGCCTTGCACATGCGAGGTGAGTGCTCTACCGCTGAGCCACAACCCCAGCCTAGCACTTCTTTTTAAATAAATAATTAATTATTTTTTGATACTGTGATTAAACTAGAGGCGTTCTACCACTGGAGCTACCCCAGTCCTTTTTAAGTTTTTATTTTGAGTCAGCTAGACAAGCTAAGTTGCTTATGGTCTTGCTAAGATCCTGAGGCTGGTCTCCAACTTTCCAATCCTCCTGCCTCAGCCTCTGGAGTTGCTTGTGCCACTGAGCTTTGCACATTAGCACTTTTTTTTTTATAGAGAAAGTGCCTACAATTCTCTTTTCCTGTGTATCATTTCATAGGTTTTGTCAGTATTTTGTGGGCATTCAAGTATTAGTGGACAATATTTGGTAAACCACACAAATTTCTGAGTAAAAAACTAAGATGAAAAAAATTAGTCCTTCTCTGAATGTCAATCTTGAGTATAACAAAATGAACCTGGTTTAGTGATGAGACTGTTTTTCAAGCAAAATTTGGTAATTTCAACTAAAAGTATCCTCAGAAATATAAAAATTAATTAATGAATATAATTCCTAAGACTGAAAAAATTTAGAACTACTCAGTGAAAAAATTTTCTAAAACTTTTCTAATTTATATCTTCTAAGTCTAAATATTCAGAGTCTATCAGCTTACTGATTCCCATGTTTCAAAAAGGAGCTTTAACAAGAAGAAACCAGTGGATGGGCAAGAGGAGGCAGGAAGTGATAATGAGGCTCTGGGCTGCCAGGGACTTTAGTCTCATTATCATCCACCACACATGCAGGGTTCCCCTGCCACTGTCACCAGTGGCTAGACCTGCAGTTTTCATCATGAACTGCAAGTTCTATCACAAAAGAGCTTTTATTTTTAGTACAGCTGGCTTCCTCTTAAGTAGGAAATAATTTAAAGGAAGTTATTGAAAATGTTTACACAGAAAACTTATAAACTACAAATGTGTGCCCTATGTCCTCTACAAAAGGAGAAAAACCTAACAGGACCTCTTTTGTCATGGGTCCGAGAAAAAGTCTGAAAAGAGAGAAATCCCTGGGTCCTTAGGAACCTGCAATTACTCAGGGTAGGAAAATGCGGCTAGCTATTTGCGGCTGTGTGGTTGGAGTTCTTATTCTCCTGCAGGTGGGCACCCTAGCAATGGAAGGTAGCAGGATGACAATCAAAGCTCATCTCACCTCGAAGGCAGCAGAGATGATCTTTGCCTTCTTGCTGAGCACGGAGCCCACCGCATTGAAATTCTTATCTCGGATCTCAGCATAGAGCTCCTCTGCAGAATTCAGCTGCAGCTTCTTTGCTTCTGTGGGGAGGTCCTTCCCACTGTCACCCTGCTTCTTAGGTGCAAATTTCTCTGGGGGTAATTTCACATAACCTGAATGACAATGGGAGGAAACGAGCACCTATGTGCAATTACTGGAAGAAGCAACAATCAAGTACCCAGGCATAAAAGGGAATTTCCAGTTCAACAGAGAATGGAAGACAGCTTAACAAGACAGTGACACATAGCTCTGGGTTTTTATATCCCATGATACAAGTACAGGAAAGAGTGACTCTTGATGGGCATGGTGGTGTACTCTGGTAATCCCAGCAGCTCAGGAGGCTGAGGCAGGAGAATTTTAAGTTCAAACCCAGCCTCAGCAACTTAGCAAGACCTTATCTCAAAATAAAAAATAAAAAGGGCTGGGTGTGGCTCAGTGGTTAAGCACTCCTGGATTCAATCCCTGGTACTACAAAAAAAAAAAAAAAAAAAAAAAGTAATAGTGACTCTTTAGCATTGATACCATGGTTCCATTTTTCTTTGGGGGCACCTATATATAAGCTACCATAGCAATGTCCAGTTCCTAAACTTCTTGAGGAATTAGGTCCCTTTTCCTCTTCTAAGTTAGGTGTGATTCAGTGGCACAGGAATTGCCTAACTTGAGTGAGGCCCTAGGTTTGATGCCTAGCACCATAAAAAAAACTTACAAGGATCTGCCCAATGTCTCCTATGGTTTTCAGACTGTAAGTAATGTCCCATTAGGTGCCATGAAATCAAGCCACTGAGTGGCGAGAAATATTAAAAAACAGAAGAAAACAAAACAGCAACAAACAAAAGAGGAAATACCAGAGTGTATCACATGAACTAAGGGCAGGTGGGGTTTTTATTATTAATAAAACTTCTGTTTTTGTTTTATACATACATATATGCATGTGTGATATAAAATATATTTCTTACTGATCAACAATAGTTTGAAAGCTATTTTCAAACAAGGGTCAGAAACTATGGCATGAGGGCCAAATTCTGCCCAATTCCTTTTTTTTGGTACCAGTGATTGAATTCAGGGGTGCTTAATAATTGTGCTACATCCCTAAGCCTTTTTCAAATTTTGAGACAGGGTCTAAGTTGCTCAGAGCCTCACTAAGTTGCTGAGGCTGGCTTTGAACTCGCAATCTTCCTGCCTCAGCCTCCCCAATTGTTGGGATTACAGGCATGTGCCATTGCATAGTTTTACTTCCTGTTTTTGAAAATAAAGTTTTATTGGCACATTGCCACACCCATTCCATATGTAGTATGCATAACAACCCCTCCCCGATCTTCCTCCTCCTCTTCTTTTTGCAGTACTAGGTATCAAACCCGGGGCACGTTACCACTGAGCTACATGCATAGCCCCCTCCCTTTTTTTTTTTCCCCTAAATTTTGAGACAGGGTCTCATTAAATTGCCCAGGCTATCCTTGAGCATGTGCCTCAGCCTCTCAAGTAGCTGGGTTTAATAGGTGTGTACCACCATACCTAGCTTTTCTACTATTTTTCCAGTTTCCCTAATCAATGTTTAACTTGTTAAAAAAAAAAAAATGCTACAAAGAGGCAGTGAATTAGCTGGATGTGGTGGCACACACCTATCATTCCAGAAATCTGACAGGCTGAAGCAGGAGGATCACAAGTTCAAAGCTAGCCTTAGCAAGTCCCTAAGCAACTTATAGAGACCCTGTTTCAAAATAAAAAAGATACAAAAGGGTTGCAGATGTACCTCAGGGGTTAACTACTCCTGGGTTCAATCCCAGGTACCATAAAAAACAAAAACAAAAGAAAAAAAAAAAAAGAGGTTGTGAGTTTACACGTATGCTTTATTTTCTTGGAAAATCCCTGCTGACCTTTCACCTTGTTTACACAGCCATCTCCTGCAGCCCTTACAGGTCACCCCTTCCCATCCCAAACTCTCTGGAGTGGGGAGTGGTGCACACCTGTAATCCCAGCTACTTGGGAGGCTGAGGCAGGAGGATTGTTAAATCTGAGGCCAGCTTCAGCAACTTAGCAAAACCCTGTCTGGCACTTTTTTTTTTTTTTGGCAGGTGTTGAGGATCAAACCTAAGGCCTTATGCATACTAGGCAAGCACTCTACTACTGAGCTACATCCCCAGCCCAAGATCCTAAAGCCTCAGAAATAAAAGGAGCTGGGGATATAGTTCAGTGGTAGAGCATCCTGGATTCAATCCCCAGTGCAAAGTAAGAATAATAATAATAAATTAATTAATTAAAATCTCTCAGATTTTAAATGCTGACAGAAACAAAGAAGTATCACATGGGCCACAATCAACCAAACAAAACATGTTTGTGACCTCTAACCTAATAACCTGCTATGCCCCAAACCTAGCAGGCCGTCCGATCTTCCACCTAGTGACCCTAACTTCTGTATCAGCCTTGTTCCTGAGGATTTCCCCATCTGTGCTCTCTCCTTTTGTGAGCTTGCTATCACACCACAGGTAGCATTCAGCATGCTGCTCACCCCTCCCCAGAGCCTCCGCCTGAACTCTACCCTTCTTTCCACCCAACACAGCCACCTCTTCACAAGCTCTCCAGAACTATCGCCAGCCATGAGGCACGGTCTGGTTATTCCTCCTCCAGTTATTTTCTTCTTTTTGGATGCTCTTATTTGGTCATTTTATGTATACTATGTATATAGATAGATAGATAGATATACATATAAACTATATATTATACACACATATATAAAATTTATAATTGGCTATGTAGTTACACATGTTCCACATTTATTATTTTATAAAGTTCTCAACCATTTGGATTATTCAGAAAATTCTAGAAAAGAAATGGAAATACAAATTTTTTTGTAAACCTCCTTGATCTCTTTTTTTGGAATGATTCCTGAAGGGACGTTAAAGCTTTGGATTTTCTTGAGCCAAGAGTGAAAGTCTTATGAGTTGTCAAACTGCCGCAAAAAAGGTTTATGCTAATCTACACTTTGAAATCACCATTAGAAACTGGATCTTTAAGTTTACATAATGCTTAAGTATGCCACATAAGAATGGCAGCCTCCACAAAAAAGGGTATTTTTATCATATTACCTATTAATAAAAATAGATGTCACTTACTGTTCTGAATGCCATAGATTTCATCAATGAGTCCTTCATATGTAAGCTGAGTGGCAAGAGGTGTTAATAAATCCACATTTCGATCAAGCAATAAGAGGTTGTCAAAAACAGGAAATATTGAATTTTGGCTTCCTGTAAACTCTCTCTTCATCCTGATCATCATATTGGCAACTTGCTGGAAATAAAATACTGGATCAGGTGGCGCCTTCCAGAACTAGCAGATTTAAAACTTCAGCTAAAAACAGATCATCAAAATAGGAAAAAAACTGCAAGAGTGAGACTGATTAAGAAATAAGCGCTCTCTCTGCTTCCTGGTCACCATGATGTGAGCTGCTTCCCTCTGCCACACACGCCGCCATGATGTTCAGCCTATCAAGCCCCAAGAAATGGAGCCAGATGTCTATAGACTAAGACCTCTGGAAACACATGGTTGTGACCTTCAGTGCTCTAACTTCACGTGTAGAATTCGGGGCTATAGCATGAGAAGAAAAACAGCAAGTGTCCATGGTTCAGAAGAAAGAAAATGATTTCAGCCCCCCCCCGCCCCCCAAAAAAAGGGAATAAGCAGCTATTGGGCTGGGGCTGAAGCTCAGTGGCAGAGCACCTGCCTTGCACATGTGAGGCACTGAGTTTGATTCTCAGCACCACATAAAAATAAATAAATAAAGATATTTAAAAAAGAAATAAGCAGATATCAAAAAGCATTTGCTATTGGCCACCACTTAGAGCCAACAGCAGCCACCAATTCCCAGTAAGGCAGAAAATCAGTTACACTGTGCTTGCTATTTGAGGTTCTACAAAGTCACTGAAGCCACTGAACTTGGCTAGCTAACCCTGACCCACTGCTCCTACGGAAATACAATGGGGTACCTGTGAGCCACTGCACAACTTCTGTCAACTGATCAACACAACATGATTCCACGTGTGTTTCTGTTTAAAGACTCTGACTTTATATATATGTATCACTCACAGCCAACAGCTCTCTCACTGGCCTGAATGAAACTTCTCTAACACACTGATTTCTCCACAAGGCACATCGCAGGTTTTCTGTGCTCAGGAACATTTGGAAGCACTTCAGCACTATACTTGAGGGCCTACTTCAAACAGCAAAATCATCAACAAAAACTATAAAGAGCAGAAAAACAGGACACTAACAGACTGGAAGAGATACTTGTAGCCCAAGAGTGGAAACAAGAAGGCAGAGCGTCATCTTGTTCAACCTCAGCCAGCAGTGTGTTCAGTGTATGACAAATTTCTCACTTCTCTGTGCACGTCCACAAAGTACCATGAGTGCTAACTTGAGGGTCACGCCCAAATTATAGAGAGGAGGAAAAGTCCAAACACAGAATTTGTGAGTTATGGAGCCTGGCTGTACTTGTGAGGAGTCTCCCCTTCCTCCCCAACTTTGGGTGCCAGGGGCCCCCCTTCACCACCAGAAAACAGCTGGTTCTCACCCGAGCACACTCTCCTTTCCCAAAGATCTGGGGGATTGTTCCATACAGAGCCTGCAGTGTCATCAGCCCCTTCGCAGCATGATACAGGCTTGTCTGGTCACCCTCTAGGTAGCACTCCTGTGGAGAAGAAAGGCCAGTTACTATGGATCAGTCTTTTCCCAGGGGCCAGCCAGGTGCCTGCCTCTGTTCCAGTGTTAGGGTTCAGCAAGGGACAATAAAACCAGTTCCAGGGCTGGGGCTGGGGCTCAGCGGTACAGCAGTTTGCCTCACACTTGTGAGGCACTGGGTTTGATCCTCAGGACCGCATAAAAATAAATAAACAAAGTAAAGATATTTGTCTACCTACAACCAAAAAAACAAAACAAAACAAAAAACAAACCCATTTCCATATATTGCAAGCTCTATAAACAAAGTAGAAAGACAAATAGCAGCCAGGCGTGGTGGCTCATGCCTGTAATTCCAGCTATTTAGGAGGCTGAGTCAGGAGGACTGAAAGTTTGAAGCCAGACTGGGTGACTTATCAAGACCCTGTATCAAGGGCTGGGGTGTAGCTCAGTGGTAGAGTGCTTGCCTAGCCATGTGTGAGGCACTGGATTTGATCCTCAGCACTACATATAAATAAATAAAATAAAGGTATTAAAAAAATCAACAACAAAAAAATAAGAGACCCAGAATAGCTAAAGCAATCCTTAGCAAGAAGAGTGGAGCAGGTGGCATCACTATACCAGACCTTAAACTATACTACAGAGCAACAGTAACAAAAATAGCATGGTATTGGCACCAAAATAGACTTATAGTCCAATGGTACAGAATAGAGGACACAGAGACAAACCCACACAAATATAGTTATCTCATTTTAGACAAAGGCACCAAAAATATATATTGGAGAAAGGATAGCCTCTTCAACAAATGGTGCTGGGAAAACTGGAAATCCATATGCAACAAAATGAAATTAAGCCCATATCTCTCACCATGCACAAAACTCAACTCAAAGTGGGTCGAATTAAACCAGAGACCCTGTGCCTAATAGAAGAAAAAGTAGGCCCAAATCTTCATTATGTAGGATTAGGTCCCAACTTTCTTAATGAGACTCCTAGAGCACAAGAAATAAAATCTAGAATCAATAAATGGAATGGATTCAAACTAAAGAGCTTCTTCTAAGCAAAAGAAACAATCAGTGAGGTGAATACAGAGCCTACAGAATGGGAGCAAATTTTTACCACATGCACATCAGATAGAGCACCCATCTCTAGAATATATAAAGAACTCAAAAATCTTAACACCAAAAAAACAAATAACCCAATCAATAAATGGGCCAATGAACTGAACAGACACTTCTCAGAAGATGATATACAATCAGTCAACAAATACATAAAAAAATGTTCAACATCTCTAGCAATTAGAGAAATGCAAATCAAAACTACTCTAAGATTTCATCTCACTCCAGTCAGAATAGCAGCTATTAAGAATACAAACAGGGGCTGGGGTTGTTGCTCAGTGGTAGAGCGCTCACCTAGCATGTGAGAGGCCCTGGGTTCGATCCTCAGGACCACATAAAAACAAATAAACAAAATAAAGGTATTGTGTCCAACTACAACTAAAAAATAAATATTAAAAAAAAAGAATACAAACAACAATAAGTTTTGGCAAGGATGTGAGGAGAAAGGCACACTCATACTCTGCTGGTGGGACTGCAAATTGGAAAGCAGTATGGAGATTCCTTGGAAAACTTGGAAAGAAACCACCATTTGACCCAGCTATCCCACTCCTCGGTTTATACTCAAAGGACTTAAAAACAGCATACTATAGTAATGCAACCACATCAATATTTACAGCAGCTCAATTCATAATAGCTAAATTGTGGAACCAATCTAGATGCCCTTCAGTAGATGAATGGATAAAGAAACTGTCGTATATATACACAATAAAATATTACTCAGCATTAAAAGACAATAAAATCATGGCATTTGCAGATAAATGGATGGAGTTGGAGAATATTATGCTAAGTGAAGTTAGCCAACCCCAAAAAAACAAATGCCGCGTGTTTTCTCTGATTTGAGGATGCAGATCCATAATGGGGATGGTTGGGGAAGCATGGGAGAAATGGAGGAACTTTAGATAGGGCAAAGGGGAGGGAGGGAAAGAGAGGGATAGGAGAGATGGTGGAATGAGATGGACATCATTACCCCAAGTACGTGTATGAAGACATGTATGTGACTCTATCCACTTTGTGTACAACCAGAGACATGAAAAATTGTGCTCTATATGTGTACTATGAATTGAAATGCATTCTGCTGTCATATAAAACAAATTTGAATAAATAATTTTTAAAAAATGGTTAAAAAAAAAGACCCTGTATCAAAATACAATTTTTTTTTTAAAAAAATGGGTAGGGATGTAGCTCAGTGGTAAAGTGCTTGGCAACCAGGTACAAGGCCCTGGATGGGATCTCCAATACCACAAGGGGAAAAAAAAAAAAAAAGAAAGACAAAATGGCAAGGGCAGAAGACATCCTGGATGGCCTACAGAGCAAGGGCTCCCCATGCACAAGGCCACCTAACAGTGTTAGATGCTTCAAAAGAGGACTGGCTCAATAAATCATGGTACATTCAAATAATGGAACACAATACAGCTTCAACTACAAACACAGCAGCACTTTCATAAATGGTAGAAAATGACTCCCAAATGTCTTATTAAAAGCAATATATCAAGGGCTGGGGCTGGTGCTCAGTGATAGTGCACTTGCCTGTCATGTGTGAGGCACTGGGTTTGATTCTCAGCATCACATCTAAATAAATAAGATAAAGGTCTATCAACAACAAAAAAATATTTAAAAAGTAAGATATCAAAATGTGTGTGTGTATGTGTGTATATACAACCATGTGTTTAAAAATGAGAATACTATACATGTTGTGAGCTGCAGCTGCATAAAGCACCTAGAGAAAAAAAGAGTTAAACACACACCAAAACACATCCCGGTGTGATGGCACACACCCTTAATCTTAATGATTCAGGAGTCTGAGGCAAAGGATTACAACTTCAAGGCCAGCCTTACCAACTCAGCAAAGTGCTAAGCAACTTTGCAAAAACCTGTCCAAAAATAAAAAAGGGCTGGGGATGTGGCTCAGTGGTTAAGTAACCCTGGGTTCAATCCTTGGTACCCTCCCCCCAAAAAAAAGAAAAAGAAAAAAAAGAAAAAGAAAATACACACATACATACACACACAAAGAAAGAGTTAGGAATAGGGATTGTTTCTGGAAAGAACTGGTCAGTCTGAGAACTGGGGTGGAGAGTGGCTTACTCTTCACCCTGTGACCTTTCTGACTCAAAAAAATTCTACCATGAGCATGGATTAAGTTCACAAAACATTTTCAAATTATTTTTTAAAAGATAAAGTAATATTCTTATGAGAGAATGTGTTTATTGGAAGAAAAGTAGCAAATAAATACATAAAACACACTGGCAAAAAGACTTGCAGAACCAGAGAGAAAAGATATGTATATTTACTGATAAACCTATGCTAGAAAATAATCAGTGGGCACCAGCAATGCTGGGCCAGTGGCTGTACACCTGAAAGAAAACACGCCAACACCATCCGCCACACAGCACACACACAAACCCAAGTCAGATTCAAGACCTGTGAAGAGGAGAACTCAAAACTTTTAAAAGAAAATGAAAGATTTTCTGTTTTCAGAGTAAAGAATTTATTCAGATACAAAAAGAACAAAGCAAAGCAAAAAAAAAAAAAAAAGTGAGAGATTTAAGTGCTTTGGTTGAAGAACTCATATACTTCCTCATTTCAAACTTACGGCAAAGCCATAGTAATCAAGACTGTGTTGCAGGCAGGAAGACAGACAGATCAACCAAAGGACCAGAATCGAGAGACCAGAAATAAGCACACCCTTATACTTACGGACAACTGAGTTTTTGCAAAGGTAACAAGACAATTCAAAGAGGAAAACAAAGTCTTTTCAACAAATAGTGTTGGAACAAATGGATATCCCCCCATGTTTAAAAAAAAAAAAAAAAAAGTTAGACCCCTCTCTCTTATGTTATACACAAAATTAATTTTAAATGGGTCAAAGACCTACATGTAAAAAGTAAAGCTACAAAACACTTAGAAGGAAACACTGGTATGAATCTTTGTGGCTGGGTTAGGCAACAGTTTCATGAATTTGATACCAAAAGCACAAGTAAAAGAAGAAAAAAAGAAATTGGATTTTATCAAAATTAAAAATATTTGTGCATTAAAGGATCCCACTTTCACTAAGAAAGTGAAAAGAAGCCACAAAATGGAGGAAAATATTTGAAAATCCTGTATCTGATAAAGAGATTTGTATCTAGAATACAATAAGAATTCTTGCTAGGTGCAATGGCACATTACTTCCTGTGTCTCAGAAGGTTGAGGCAAGAGGATCATAAGTTCAAGGCCAGTCTCAGTAACTCAGCAAGACCCTGTCTCAAAAAAGTAAAAATGGCTGGGGATTAGGTTCAGTGGTAGAACACCCTTTGTAAGTGGTAGATCCCCCCCCCGCCCAAAAAAAAATTCTTATAACTTTGTGTTAAAAACAGATAAATAACACAAAGTGGGCAAGTGACATAAAAAGACATTTCTCCAATAGATGACATATAAATGTCCAATAAGCATATGAAAAGATAATCAACATCATTTGTCATCACAGAAATGCAAAGTAAAACCACAACGAAAAACCACTCATACCCAGTTGGAAAAGACGAACAATGACAGTATCAGTGAGAAGGTGCAGCAACTGCTAGTGGGAATATGAAATGGCAGCACTACTAGGCAAGAGTTTGGAATTTCTCAAAGTGTTAAACACAGTTGCCATATGACCAGAATAGATCATCTCCAGAATAGGCCAGTCCATACAGATAAAATAGATTAGTGGTTTCCAGTGGCTGAAGGAAGGAATGATAGAGAATGGCTGCTAATGGGTGTGGGATGTCTTTTGCAGATGATTAAAATGTTCCAAAATTAGAGTGTAGTGATAGTTGCAAAACTCTAAATAAACTGAAAACCACTAAACTGCATCTTATAAAGGGATGAATTTTATGATATGTAAATTATAATAAGTAAATCTATTAAAATTTTAATTATTTATAATGAGAAATGTTAACTACATCATCATTATTATTACTTTGGTACTGGGGATTGAAGCCAGGGGCACTTATTTAACCACTAAGCCACATTCCGAGCCCTTTTTATTTTGAGACAGGGTCTCATTAAGTTGCTTGGGGCCTCACTGCATTACTGAGGCTGGACTTGAACTTGTGTTCCTCCTGTCTCAGCATCCCAAATAAAGTAGCTGGGATTTACAGGAATGACCCACCACACCCAGCAGAAAATGTTTACATTATAAAAAGCATTATAACAAGATTAAAAGACAACCCACAGACTAGGAGAATATACTTGCAGCTTTTATAAACCACAATAATGAGTATACAGAATATAAAAAGGACTCCTAAAAAATAAGCAATGAGCCAAGAAAATGAAAAAGCAATTTGCCAAAGAAAAGATCTTGAACATCAATAAACATGCACAAGCCTCAGCTTCACACTAATCATGGAGTGCAAATTAAAACTGTCTTGTGGCACTTGCATGCTCATAAATTTGGCAAAAATTCAAGTCTGATGTCAGGGAAAGCCCAAACTTACTTTGAATGCACCCTCTGATTCCATGGACAAGAGATCTCCATCAAATGGAATGAGATCTAAACTGTACTCCTCTCTGTGGATAAAGGATCCCAAAACACCAAGGTCCTTCAACCGCTGTTCACACAGCAAGCTACGGCGGGGCACAAACAAAATGTGGAAATCTCTCACTGGGCCACGTCTGTCTTCACTGCAAAGGAAGTAACATCTGTTAGCTTATGATCTCTTAGGTTCAGAGACTATACTGCTTATTTTGACCCCTTTGCCTGGCACAACATGGGCAGTAAATAAACACTGGTTAGATAAATGTAAGAATACTAACTCACAGATCCAAATTGTTCAGAGTTCTATGTTTTCTCTTTTTCAACTCCCAAACAGGAAAGCAGCATTGAACACAGCTATTACTTTGTGGTATATTTTCTAGAATTCTTTTAAATCATTTATGGGGCATCAAAGCTCTCAGGTTTATTAAAACAGGATATCTATACCTTACTAAAAACAAATGGTTCTTTAACAAAACCAGTGCAACAACAGTCTGATATTAAGATGAGACATCACTCTTGATTCCCACCTTCTATTCTCCTTGACAACGGACTTCCAAAAATAGCACATATGCTTTTAAGATTTTAGGGGCTGCAGCCATCAATTGTTCCACAGAGTGCAGACTATGCAAGATGACTTCCTCTATAGATTGGATCCATGTTAAATTTTAATCAGCTCTTATTTTGCTTATGAAATTCAACCACATTACATTCAGTATATTGGAAAATTTTAACCATTAGACTTCCTTGCCTGTTCTAGTTTTCCAAAAGACCACCTTCTAGTGCACTGGCAAGGGTGGGGGTTTGTAATGACAAGGAGCTCAGTACATTAAAACCATTGTAAAGGGCTAGGGTTGTGGCTTAGTGGCAGAGTGCTTGCCTTGCACATGTGAGGCACTGGGTTCAACCCTCAGTACCACATAAAAATAAACAAAATAAAGATACTGTGTCCATGTATAACTAACTAAAAAATATTAAAACAAACAAGGGCTGGGGATGTGGCTCAAGCAGTAGCGTGCTCGCCTGGCATGCGTGTGGCCCGGGTTCGATCCTCAGCACCACATACAAACAAAGATGTTGTGTCTGCCAAAAACTAAAAAATAAATATTAAAAAAAAAATATTAAAACAAACAAACAATCAAAAACATTGTAAAGGGCTGGGGTTGTGGTTCAGTGGTAGAGAGCTCACTGAGCATGTGAAGCATTGGATTTGATCCTCAGCACCACATTAAAAAAATAAATAAAGCTATTTTTTAAAAAAGAAAAGTATTTTAAGGACCAAACCTCTTTTGACCAAACAAAAGCTCTGAGATACCTGAGCACATTTTCAGCGATTATATCCATCAATTCTAGCCTGGGTCTGACAAAAAATATAATATTCTTGACATCTGCTGCTGGCAAACGACTTCCTTTAAGTGTAAACATTTTTTCCACTTCATGTTCCTAGGAAAACACATACACAAAAGGTTAACACAATCCCTGAAATTTATCTATCATTTCCAGACTCAGAAATCATATATACTCCTAATATAATGCATGGTAATGATTTACTATCAAAATTTAGGTCCCCCACAGCCAAATACATAAAGGACGAAGTTTCAGTATGAAGCCACACTCTATTTTTTTTTTTAATTTATTTTTTTTATTGGTTGTTCAAAACATTATAAAGCTCTTGACATATCATATTTCATACATTAGATTCAAGTTGGTTATGAACTCCCAATTTTACCCCAAATACAGATTGCAGAATCACATCGGTTACACATCCACATTTTTACATAATGCCCTATTAGTAACTGTTGTATTCTGCTACCTTTCCTATCCTCTACTATCCCCCCTCCTTCCCCTCCCATCTTCTCTCTCTACCCCATCCACTGTAATTCATTTCTCTCCTTGTTTATTTTCCCATTCCCCTCACAACCTCTTATATGTAATTTTGTATAACAATGAGGGTCTACCTCCATTACCATGCAATTTCCCTTTTCTCTCTCTTTCCCTCCCACCTCATGTATCTGTTTAATGTTAATCTTTTCTTCCTACTCTTCCTCCCTGCTCTGTTCTTAGTTGCTCTCATTATATCAAAGAAGACATTTGGTATTTGTTTTTTAGGGATTGGCTAGCTTCACTAAGCATAATCTGCTCTAGTGCCATCCATTCCCCTGCAAATTCTATGATTTTGTCATTTTTTAGTGCTGCGTAATACTCCATGGTGTATAAATGCCACATTTTTTTATCCATTCATCTATTGAAGGGCTGAAGCCACTCTCTATATCAGCATTTAAATGACTAACACAACAAACTATTGAAAACACCAAGTAATGATTACCTTATATCATGCACAGAGCATTGCACACAAAATGTTAACCATACTAACCAAAATGTTAGTATTTGTGTTTATAGATCCAATTGTTTGCAAGCCAGTCACTCATGAGGAAATATAAAATCATATGTGTTATTATTGCTAAAATTCAGAATTATTAATCCAATAACAAAACCCATTAGCTCATTTACCTTCAGTAGTGAATACTGTGCAATCAGGCCAAAGGGTCCTGTTAGGTACTCATCCCAAACTATTGCCTGAAACAGAGAGAAATTGTCTCTTATTACAGATAATCTCAATTTCAACAATATCAACAGAAAATAGCAGTCATATATAGTAGGAATATTTCTTCAAACTTGGGAGTTAAAATTTTTAATTGGATCACCAAATATGGTAGCACATGCCTGTAATCCCATCTACTCTGGAGGCTAAAGCAGGAGGATTGCAAGTTCAAAGCTAGCCTGGGCTACTTTGTGAGAAATTTTCTAAAAATTATTATTATTTTTCTGGTACCGATGAGTGAACCCAGGAATGCTTAACCACTGAACCCTTTTTAAATTTTGAGATAGGGTCTCACTAAGTTGCTTAATTTTTGAGACTGGTTTTGAACTTGTGATCCTCCTGCCTCAGCCTCCCAAGTTGCTAGGATTACAGGCGTGTGCCACTACACCCAGCTAAAAAATTAAAAATTTAAAAAAGGCCAAGAACACAGCTCAATGGTAGAGCACTTGCACAGAATATGGGAGGCCCTGGGTTCAACCCCCAGTACATAAAATTAAAAATGTAATTGGCTCTGATCACATTCATAGCCTAACAATCTAAATGAAAATGGCATATGATGCTAGTGTGGGTCACAGAGAAATTAAAGAGCTAATTACTGTCCTCAACAGAAAGAAGGAGCTATAGAACCTTTATATCTAAATTGTGGTTTTATTAAATTGAACTATACAGAAATTCCAATTATACAGACCTAAAACCTATGATATAAGCATTACAAATCTTATTTGGGCAGAAGAGGAAAATTTTAAAAGTTTAGGAGTTTAAGTAAGTATCCAAGGCCATATAAGCAACTTGGACTTTACCTATAGCACAAAGAAGTCAAGACTGCAACCTAGGACTTTTTGACACCATAAGTCATTGTTCTGGGACCCATGTGAGTATATCTACCACTAAACTCCAGCTTCATTTCTTTCTTTTTAAATTTGTTATTTACATAATTGTACATTGTCTACTTGTAAAAAATATGACAATCACTGTGCACTTTGCCTGTTTTCCTCTGGTAGTAACAAGTAACTTTATGCAAAACTATAGTATAATATTACATTTCAGTATACTGTCATTGACACAATCTACGATCAGATTCAGATTCCAGCATCATCTGCTGAATTTAAACAAGGGCCCTGTGATTCAGCCCGCTTTCTTCTCTCAAGGGCTGCCAGCCAGCACTCTACCTCTTGGAGTTCTATTCTCTCCAACACTGGTTTCTGAGCTTCCTCAGTTCTAAGGAAAGAGTGGTTACTCAAGGAAACGGACAAATGCTAAGGGGAGAACAGGGCGGATCAGGACAATGTTTCTGGTCTACAGTGTCTGACTCCCTTCTGAGGTGAGTGCTCAGAAGGAGAGAGAACCCTATTTTAAGAAAGCAAAGTTAAAATGACATCATCTCTCATGATGGGTGCGAGCAGGTTACAAGGCGTCGGTGCTTCAGAGACTTGCGAAGGTACTATCTGAACTGACACTTGCGGTCGCTGAAACGAGTGGACACTGAGCCATTGCACCCCCGCGCCCAACTTCAAGCTCTCTCCAGGCGCTGGGCTGCCTATCACGGTGGCTTATCCTGCCGTCACGGGACCACGGCATCTCCGGGTTGGGTGCCCAGGCCCTCCCTGCCTCGTCGTTGCCGCCTGCACCTGGACGCAAGGACAGGGCCCAAAGTTCGCCCCCTTGGAAGACGCAGGGGACCTCCTACACTCGAGCTTAAAAGGTCGGGGACCGGACAAAGCCGGGCCGGCCACGGGAGGAGATGGAGGTGTCGCAGGCTCCGGCTCCTCACCTTGCTTCCCGCGCACTTGTCCAGGAACTCGCGCAGCTCGCGACGCACCGCCTCGCGCAGCACGTTCAGGTTCACTCGTCCGTAGGACAGGTGCGCCGCCATCTTGCCCCCTCCCCTTTCCCTCAGCCCCACCGCGTCCACAGTTCTCCACCCCCGGCCCGCGGTCACGTGGCTGTACATGCACGTGATCAGAGCTGCTGACGCAGGCCAAACCCGGAAGCCGGAGTCGGCCGGATGCGCTTCTCTCCAGTCGGGTCCTAGAGTCCAACTCTTTCCTTTACCTCTTCGCTTCTTCGGACCCTACCTCGGTCCTGGAGTCGTCTGGCCTTGAAAAGGGACATTGGAATTTTGGAAATTGATCTCATTTGACTCTTTTAAAAATCGCCACCAAGAATACTTGCTGTGTAATGGTAATTTGAAGCTAAATTTGTATGCAAATCTTTTTAAATTATAAAAATCCGAAGGTCTGCAGGGCAAAGTGGACCACGGTTATAATCCCAGCTTGGTCTCACTGGTAGACTAATAAGGCAACATGGTATTTCACAGGAATACTGTCAAAACCCGGCTGGCTTAACAGCAAAATCCCTGAGTTGTGAAGACGAAAGAGGATGTAAATTACATCTTGTAACCTGCGTAAAAGGATGAGCTCGGTGCCTGAAACTTAACTGCTCAATAAATTATTAGGATATGATCGTTTCCATACTTTGGGGCAGATACGGGTCATTTTGAGGTAGGATGGAAAATAAAAGGTAGTGAGCTGGGGACTTAGCTCAGTGGTAGAGTACTTGCCTAGCATGCATGAAGCCCTAGGTTCAATCCTCAGTACCACACACACACACAAATAAAAATTTAAAAAGTAGAAAGGAAACAAAGAGAAACAACTAAGGTCCTAAAGTTCCTCATAAGTTCCTCATGCCATTTCTCCCCAGGCCAGTTTTCTCCTTAACTGAGAATGTCTTATCTTAACGCCTATGATAATGTTGAGCTCAGCAGGCCATGTCATGAGCTATTTAAAGATGAGGGTACAGTTTAAGCAGTAAAATGCCCAGGCATTCATGAGTGTAACTAACTGAGGAGAAGCAGTATGGTAAACTGTCCCTAAGCAGGATCAGGATGCCAGAAGATTAATAATGGGTACTTTATTTCCCCGTACATACTACTTATTGTGTGTTAAAAGACTGTGTGTGTGTTTATAAATATATACATATATGAGAGTGAGAAGCACAGGGAGAGTGCGCCTTTTAATCACCTCAGGTCAATACCGAAGTTGAGAACTATTATTGTGGATTATTTAGGTAAGAGTAATGCTTTTCCTCAAGTAGTGTTTTGGAAATAGCTATTTGTTGATAACTGTTCATAAACTGGATGTTCAAAAAACTAGCAGTTGGTTCAGTAATCAGTTTTGTAAATACCCAAGCAACGTTTGAGTTTCTTTCTAAAACCCATCATGGATTAATAAAAATGGTACTATATGGTGCTAATGATGCCACTTAAATTTTTGGCAGATGATACAATGTGATACAGCAGTGGGTAAAACCACAGATAATTACTTTTTGCCAAGTGAGTCACAAAACACTTGAAGAAAGGCATACCAGTTTATTATTTTTTTCTTTTTTGGTACTGAGGATTAAACTCAGGGGTGCTGTACCAAGGAGTTACATCCCCAGCTCTTTTTTGTATTTTTTGATAGTCTTTGAGTTGAGGAGGCTGGCCTTGAACTTTCAATCCTCCTACCTCAGTCCCCCTAGTAGATGGAATTATAGGCGCCAGCCACTGTGCCTGGCCCAATTTATTTTTTTAAGGAAAAAAAAAAAAAAGTTTGTTTCTCATGTTGTGAGATGAACAGCCTCAATTGGTGGAGTAGCCATTTCGTGAATTCACTCAAGGGTCCAGGATTCCGGCACGTGATTCCACAATCCTTTAGGACATTATCCTTGGTAGAATTGGAGAGAAGTCATTTCAGTTTCCAATCTTTGTACTCTCTCAATTCTTGGAATCCACAATGTAATCTGAAGGCAAAACAATTTTCTGAGCAACACTGGAGAACAGCATTTTATAGATCAAGGCCTACAAATGCCTCATATCTTTCCACTTTTAAAAATCCTCAGATTCAGTTAACATTCACAAGCACTCAGGACTCAAGTCTCCAGATACAGTCAACCTCAGAAAGCTGCAGCTGGTATTTTCTTAGCAGCAGCCAATACTGCCCTTGTTGCTTCCAGGGCCACCTGTTCAGGACATACCAATTTCTTAACTGGTGTTTAGCAACAAGACTGTAGTAGAAATTGCTGTTTGGGGTGGACGTGTAGGCTGGTGGTAGAGTGCATGTGAAACATGCAATAAGGCCCTGGGTTCCATCCCCAGGACAGAGAGGATGGAAGGAAGGAAATTGCTATTAGGATCTATAGGGCTTTTTCATTTGAAGAAAAACCATATGACAAATGTGAGAATAATGTGAAATTACTAACACTGGCAAAAAAAAAAAATTATTAAAGAAGATACAGAACACTTGTATGCTCAAATTTTAATACTGCTTTACATGTTTTCTTTTTGTGAAACAATTCCTATTATATTAACCAAAAATTTCTACTGGTAACATTTAATATTCACTTGTCAAACACAACTGATAATCTTAGGGTAAAATACATCAAAGGCATATATACAATTATAGAATTTCTTATTATACATGTAGCATGGAAGATACATTTTATTACATTTTACATATTCTAGAAGACATTCAAATGAAGATAAATAGATTCAGACTGGTTGATAAACTATTCTGGAGGTTGAGGTCCTTCACTTTATTATTTTGTGATAAGAAAATTCAAAATTATTAATGTTGAATTTCTCATCGTACATTCATCTAAGAATAGTTAAAAATCTTGTAAAGGAAGACTGTAGATTGGTTAATTTAGGCATTTTACAGTGGCTTGATAATTCAATGCTGGGGATGTTTGCTAGAGAAGAAAAAATAATTACAGGAAATTCTTTCATCTATTTAGATCTGGTAAAGAACCAAAATGGAAACAGAAGATAAAATAACTGTGAAGCTGCAAGATGCTATTTTTGGCCTAGTCTGTTACATCCTGATGATTTTACAAGTGTTTTATTTTTCATAAAGGTAAAAATCTGAACAGAAAAACATTTTGTTTTTCCCCAAAATATAGATTTTTTTGAAAAATATATACATATGATATATATATATATATATTTGCAAATATATATATATATATTTGCAAATATATATATATATATATTTGCATATATATATATATATATATATATATGCAAAAAATTATGTAAAACCAAGAAAGAAAACACCACAGTTGAGTAAGTGGATGCAGCATATAGATTATAAAATGTCCCCACAGCAGTTTGGGGGCTTTCCCCTCCCTTCTACCTGTTTCATGATTTATAATCACACCCAGTATTGTCCAGCCTACAAAAAAAGGCACTACTGACAACAGGTAGTGCAAAGAGCTCAGATATTATAAAATACTTTTAAATTTAGAGTAAATGAAAATGCAAAATGGTATCTTTTGCAACTCATTCCAGTGTCAATGCTTAACCAAAAAAACCCCCCCAAAAACCAAAAACCTAAATATACAAATGCAGCCCAGAAATATTTAGTGCAAATATGAAGAGTAACAGCATAATTTAAAGTTTCTTAAATAAGGTAAGGGAAGGGCTTGTTCTAGAGGTCTCTGTAGAACAATAAATGTAATGGCATCTGGTGCAGTCTTAAAACTGAAAAATCAGGAAAACAAAATTAGAGGTGAACTCTCACCTACTAATATTTATTATTCTAACTTATAAGGGGAGACTAAAAGATGATTTGTTGAAGACCAAAATATTTTCTTAGATTTCTTGACAGGGGTCAAAAATAACATGAGTTCTCCTGAAGTCTGCGCACGCAGTGCTGGTGTTCAGTTGCTGAGATGCGAGTGCCTCTGAGGGCCCGTGCTGCACGCCACCACATCAGAAGGTCTCGTCATCATTGCAGTTGGTTGCCCAGTGCCCAAACATCTCACAGATCTCACAGTAAGGCCGCTCCTCACTCCGACTACCATGATGTGTGGAATGGGGTGGGTCCTCGGACATCTGTGCCTGGGTGGGACAGTCCTCTGTGTCATGGAGATCGAAGCAGTCACAGATATCACAGAAGAGGCGGGGCTTTTTCTTGGTCTGTTTCTCCTGGTCATCGCTACAAATATCAACATATAAAATCAGAGATTTTATCATAAGAAATTCAAGAGAAAACATCTCATGTAAAGAATTTTAAAAATAAGTAAGAACTAATTATGGCCAACTCTGAGCCTTCAGGGAAAGTAATACATTCCATATTTTAAAAATGCCAGATCAGACCATTTGTAACCTCTCTCTTTGCCGGATTTATGGCAACCATTTATGGCAAAGTAACTGCAGAGCAACTGTACCTTTCTGGTTGTTTGACAACCCCCTGAAGAGCTGAACTTTAAAAACACATTTATCCTGATGCCCTGAGGTTCTAGTCAGTATGGCTCACTACGAAATACCTGTCATAGGTGTTCAGGTCATCCCCATTGCCATTAAGAGCTGCTTCTGACATCATCTCCACCTTCATTTTGAGGTCTTGATTCTTTCTTTGAAGGTCCACTATTACTGAATTTAGGAAGTCAATCTGATTTGTCAAAAAAGAAAAGAAACAGTGAGGTGGGTAACATGTCTAACGTGCACAAGCTGCAGTACCAAGAAGTATGCAGATGTCACATAAGGGGCCACAGTGCCTGTCACTGGACCCATGTTGTTCAAGCCCCCCAGGAACAGAAGTAATGAGATTCTTTGACAAATAGCTGAATTTAAATGAGGCCATATGGCTAGGTGGTAGGGCTAAGGAGGTTTCCCTTTTCCCCTTTCTATCTCTCAACACTCTTCAAATGTTACTGAGTATTTTATATATACTTTAAATCAAGTCTCATTGAATATTTCCCACTGTGAATGCATAAGCTTCACTTGTCATTGAGGCAAATAAAATTATACTTAAATAGCTAAATCTGAGGGTTGTGGAATGCTACTGATTGATGGAAAGTTATTTCTTTCCATAGGGGAAAAAATACAAACTTTCCATCATTCAAAAGCATAATTTTAGATTTGTAGATACATGGGCATGAGTTTTAATTTTTCCTTCTACTACACAAATATATATATACAGATTTTACAAAACACATAAAGTTCTTTCATTAAATTCTAGAACCCATTTGGGATTGTTCTGGAAGACTTATATGGATTTTCTCTTAAGACAGCCATTAACCATTGATAATGACGGTAGGGAACATGGAGGGCTGTGAAGGGGACAGCAAGGCTCCCTTCCTACTGAGGAGAGATAGGCACATGCTAACACAGCAATGTTTGGGAACCACATACTAGAAGGGGACCTATGCTGAGGGTCCCTGAGCGGCAAAGACAAGATGACCACCAGAAGGAAACTATCATCCTAACTCTTCCGTTCAAGCCAAGAGCAATTTAAAACCCAAAGGGTTCTTCAAATAGTGAAAGGTATCCTTTCTCTAAATTGAAAAGATCCCAGTTTATAATATTAAAAATATGTACACACACATACACACATGCACACATTTTGTGGGTTTTTTTTTTTGTTGTTGTTGTTGTTTTGTATCAGGGATGGGATCCAGGGACACTTAACCAATGAGCCACATCCCCAGCCCTTTTTATTTTTTGAGACAGAGCCTTGCTAAGTTGCTGAGGCTGACTTTGAATTTGCAATCCTCCTCCTCAGCCTCTGGATTACAGGTTTGTGACACTGCACCCAGCTACTTTGAAGAAATATTTGGTCTTATTCTCCTGCTGGGAGGGTTATGAGCAATCAGCCCGGTCTTTCCCAGCATTTTATTCCAGCTTCAGCAAGGCCACCTTAGAAAGTGGATGTGCTGAGTCTATTTTTCATTTCTCAAAGTGCATTTTCTAAGTCATTTCCATTAGGACCTCCATGTCAGGAAGAAGAAAAAGCCACAGACTGGACGTAAGTATAGTGGGAAACCACACACGCACAGGCACACACAAATTAGGAAACAGAAAACAAACCATTTGCTGATGGGAAGAAAAGTGTTGTCAGCAGCAGCAGAAACGAATGGAAGCAGAAAGAAAAGAGGGGGGAGAAAACAGTGTTAATTATGTGCCACTCCTATGACACACACTAAGCAGACAGTGCTAACCCAGGGTGAATTAGTCTAAGTCTGATAGCTGTCCAAGATAATTCCTTATAGCATCATTTATGATAACGGACCTAAAGGGTCAGAGACATCCAAAATGTCATGTCAACCAAAGGGAACCGACTTAATTATGGCACATCATATAGCGAGATACTACATAGCTACATAAAAGACAACTACAGAAGGGTTTATGTTGTATGCACTACTCTTATTTTTAAATTTTTAGTTGTTGGACCTTTATTTTATTTGTTTATATGTGGTGCTGAAAGTTGAACCCAGTGCCCTCAAACGTGCTAGGCAAGCGCTCTACCACTGAGCCACAACCCTAATCCTCATTTTTAAATACAAATTGGGGGTTTTGTTTTAGTATTCACTTGAATATGCATTTTGTTGTTGTTGGAGATGGAGTCCTGCTACTTTTCTCAAACTCCTGAGCTTATGCAGTCTCCCACATCAGCCTCTGATTAATTGGGACTACAAGTGCTTGACACTGTGTCCAGCTATACATTTTTATAAAGCTCTGCAAAGGTGAGATACTAGGAATAGTAATCACCTGTTTAGGGATTTGGGAATTGGAACAGAAGAGAGGGTTTGGAGGAAGACTTTTTACTATGCACATTTTAGAACTGCTTACTGTTTGGAACACAGGAACACAATACCTATTCAAAAGATTAAATGATTCTGAAAAGGACGAAGACGACAGAGCAGTGAGGAAGAATGTTACCTGACTCTCCTGGGCTCTCTCATCCTCTTCTGCCTGAGTATCAGTATTACCTTGTATTGTGAAAAACAAAAAACAAGCAGAGGCTGGTTAAGAAAAACCATTACAATCTTTTTCCTTGTTACTTATGTAGTGAAGAGCCAGGGTAGGAAACTCATTTCCACGTGGACTTCCCCATGCACCTCAGAGAACACAGAGCAAGTTCCCAGTCCCTCAGCACTGACTGGCCCTCCCTCCCACTTCCAGGGTTCTCTCCCAGACTGGCCACTACTGGGTGGGAATGTATGTCACCTCCACTGTCCATCGTCCTCCAAAGGGACCAGCCCTGCCCTTTACTGCCATGTACTTTCAGACCCCGCGGTTGCCCTGTCTTAAGTGTGTGACAGCACTCACAGATTACAGGAAGGCCCAGGAGCAGCAATGCCAGGCATCCTGGTGTGGGGGGGCCAGGTGTGACTGGCTTCCTTCCATTAGAGAAGGAGACTAGGGACAGGCAGCGGGGGCAGCAGGGGAGGAGGAGCACCAGGAAGGTGGTGTGTTACCTGAGGAGCTGCCGAGCTGCCTCTTGTTTTCTTTGAGTTGAAGCTCCAAGTTCTTTACCTTGAGCTCGAGCTTCACCTTATCAGACTCTAGAGTCTGAACAACCGAATGCAGAGACTTGGCAGAAGCGTTTTCTCCCCTGAGCACTGTGACCTGCAACACAGTGATTGAGCTGAGGCTGGGAGGTGGACAGGCGGTGGCAGATGTAGGAGGACCCCCGGGGTGCCCTACCTCATTCCTCAGCTTTTCCAGTTCTGCATCCTTCTCTGTGAGTAAAGCACTAGTAATACTGATGGATTTCTGTAAGGAAGCTTTCTCTTCATCTGTCTCTTTTATGTACTTGGATTCTCTAAAAGACCAAAGGGTTAAAGAAGTTCCAGAAATCAACCGAGAGTCATCAGCATACAGTTTTAGAGCAAGCACGCAAATAACTTTAGTTGATGCAAAAAAAAAAAAATATATATATATATATATATAAGGCTATTTATGCTTGCAAAATTTGAAATTTTACTTACTGTGAGGGGAGAAAAAGTTTACCTATGTATAGACATGCCAGAATCTGCATATCATTGTATCCATTTGAACTTAAAAAGACAAATTAATAAATTTGGAAGATGTAGAATTTTTTAAAAAATTGTCGCACTCCCCCACCCCCCAAAATTATACCAAAATAGAACCCCCAAGTTGATTTTTGTTACTTCTGGAATCAATTATTACCAAGCAATGACAATTAAAATACATACATGCAAAGCAGTTATACAGATGTCATGCAGAGCAGTTTTATGCTGGAAGTATCAGTTGGTTCTCACTAATTTCAGTAACTTATTAGCAAGTTCCAAGAGTGTATTTTTAAGGTCATGTGGGCCAAAACAGCAGTAAGATTATCACTATTCAAACTGAAAGATCATGACTTTTCAACCACAGAATCTGAAGAGAACACTGAGTTGCTCATAGAAATTAAATTGCACTTAAAGGCTAGAGCAGAAAACACCAGGAGAGTTCTCCAGGGACAGAATGGAGGCGTGGGGATTCTGAAGGGGAGAGTCAGAGCAAGGCAGAGGGCAGGGCAGGCCTTAGTGAGAGGGAAGCATCTACCTGAGGATCCAGGCAGTGGGCAGAGAAGGAGGAAGGGGAAGGTGAGGGCAAGACACAGAGTTGTGCTGAGGGGCCGGTGTGTGAGTGAATCTTTGTTGTAAAAATTGCATGTGTGCAAAAGTGCTGAGGTCGTGAAAGACAGAAAGAGACTCAGTGAGGGACCATCACTGGATTGGAGAAGCCTGAGGAGACAGGACACCTAAATGCAGTGGGGTTTCCTAGCCTGGAGCCTGAAAAAAAGACAGACAGCCTGGGAGGGCGGGGACTTGGCTCAGTGGAAGTGCACTTGCCTAGCAAGGCCAGACCCTGGCTTCAACCCCCAGCGGTGCAGAGGAAAAAAAAAAAAAAGAAAAGCTGAATGAAGTGGAGAGGCTGGCTAACAGTCCTATATCTTGTTAATTTCTTGGTTTTGATACATGTGTCACAGCTATGTAAAATGTTCACATGTGGCATCTGGGAGAGGGCATGGGGAATTGGCTACACTACCTTTTTGTAGCTCTTCCATAAACCTAAAATTAGTTTAAAATGAAAAGTTCTAAAAAAAAAAAAATCACATGCAATGTGAAACCTGAGAGAAAGACCTCGTTTTACAAAAGTATTTTAGGGAAAACAAAACTGAGAGATGTCCCAGGCAAGCCCTAGGGCTACAAAGCCTATCATCTGAGAGAGAAAACTTAACTTTCACAACAAGACCACAGCTCCCCTCTGTCAGAAGCAGCTGGGTGAGTGCAGAGTATGTGATGGTTCAGTCTGATTCTGAACCAGCTGGAGGAGCAGGGAATAGAGGCCCAGGTTAGAAATGGCAGAATGTATGTCTGGTTAGTGAGACCCAAGATATCCGGCACACGAATCACAGAATTCTCATGGTTTATGTCAAATTGAATTCTACGTAACAATGAAAATATAAGTGTTTTATTTATCTTCTTGTGTGGCTTACACTTACACTTCAGAATGATAAGTAGTAAGAAAAGAATCTGAGACTTACGGAAGTTTCTTGAATTAAAAACAATGGAAAGAGGTCAGTATTGACATATTGTTATGTTACTGAGTAATAACTTGCTAGCAAATGGGTCTTGTTTAGATTTAAACAAAACAACTTAAATGGAAAGAATGTGCAGGCACTTTTTGCTATGTAAAGTATGTGATGTCACCCAAACACTATTAAATCTTGATCTCCTTAACCCATTTTTGCCCCATGGTCCCAGATATAGAACCTACAAAAATTTAAATATAGTATATAATATACAACTACATAACAAATATATTATACATGTTAATTACATAATTATATTAATGCTAATATAATATATATAAATTCTCGATTATTATTTTCCACCTATTTTAATATACCTCTGCCAACTTCACTGAGATATTTGCAGAATTGAAAACATGGGAGTTAATGAGCTGAGTTTCTATGAAACTTATTTGGAAGTTTATTCTATAAAAATGATTTCTAGAGCTCAATATCGGGATTGGGGATTGCCAAGGACAGACCCTCCTACACTCAGCTCTGATTGGTCAGGATCCCATGGACTCAACCTTGGAGAGGGATAAACGCCACCAGCTGGCAGGAGGGAAAGGGACAGGTGTCCTTCTCTGTGCTCACCATCACGTATACACACAACCTCTCCACAGGCTGTTTTCCACAAGGGCCATAGGAGCATTTCCTGTATAAGCTACCAGAGGATGCACAGCCAAGAAAGCTCTGCCAAGTGACAGCATAAGCAGCCCGTGGCAGCTGGTCTTTGTGCAGCTCTCCATTGCTGGCCTGTGCCCACCAGGAGCGGCTGAATTAAACCACTTATGCCAACATTATTTACATCTGAGTTGCAAATTGTATTGTGTTTAAGCCATGTTGGCTAGAATGGCTTGGTATTACTAACGCTATCAAGAAGGGAAGATAAACACAATATAAAATAAGGGCTATAGGGGCCAAAAATTTCTCTCCCCCATCCCCCAAGGGAACACATCACTCAGATTCTTTTCTTACTACTTACATAAGAAATAAATTCCAGTAATGAAGCAAATACCTTAAAGTGTTACTGGGCAAGCTTTAAAAATGCAAGATAACAAGAACCAAATATTAGAAACATGAAGAGAAATGCAATACAGTAAGGAGAACTAAATTTGCACTGAAGTCCTGTGCTGAATAGAGATATAAAAAAGAAATGTGTGTGTATATAATATGTATACACTGCTGAGTATATTTTACAAAACAAAAGCAAGACACAGAGGGACAAAGGCAGCCAAAGAATATATACAACAATTTGGTTTACTAAAAATATATGAAATTTATTTATTATAACGTGGATAGACTTTCTTTAGTCTTACCATGAAAGACACACAGATATAGCAAAGGAAGCAAGAGTAGGAAAGGGAAAAGAGAGGGGTGAAATGAGCATTGGTAAGTAGCGCAAGCTCGGAGACAGTCAGACAGTTCCAACCCACAGTGAGCTGAATGAGCGGAGGCAGCGCAGAGGGCTGCAGACCTGGGAGCCAGCATCGCCAAGCCAGTTTCCATTCCTGACACACACCTTGCATTCACACCACAGAATGAATTATGGCTTCAAGGGCTGTCAGTGTCTGAGACTCTGGCATCCCTTCTTTGACATTAAAAAGCCTAGCGAAGGGAGGGCAGTAGAGCCAAGTCCCCAGTCTGTGCTGGGCTGCAGCACCACAGAGGAACAGACCCGTCCAGTCCTGACAGAACAAGTCAAGTTCTACTCTGTGATTGCTTAGATACCTTGGAACATGTTCTGAAAAAGCTCTACTCAATTTGAAGACTGGCTTTTCAAATGATTACATCTTTAAGCTTAGAGAAAAACCTTGACCACATATTGCTTGCAACTCAATGTTACAGACACCAAAAAAACCATAGTAAATACAGAAGGATGCTACTAATTTCTTTGTTTGTTTTTGCAGTGCTGGGGATGGAACCCAGGGCCTCACATATGATAGGCAAGTGCTCTACCACTAAGCTACACCCCTAGCCCTTTTTATTTTGAGACAGGATCTTGATAAATTGCCCAGGCTGGCCTTGAACTTATGATCCTCCTGCCTTATCCCAGTTGGCTGGGATAATAAGCATGCCTAGTGATGCCTGGCCAGTGCTACTACTGACTTCTTTTCTTTTCTTTTCTTTTCTTTTTTTTTTTGGTGCTGGGGATTGAACCCAGGGCCTTGTGCATGCGAGGGAAGCACTCTACCAACAGAGCTATATCCTCAGCCCCGCTACTGATTTCTTAACAATAACTTCTCTCATCCTACAGTCAGAAGTAAGTTCTGCATGTCAATATCAAGACCATTTCAGTGAAGTAGTTACATATTATCTTGACTAGGTATATTCAATGATCACTTCTAAATTAAATTGTTGACTAAGCACTTGGTTCTTAGATGAGTGAATACATTTCAAATACCTTTATGACTTACACTCTTGGACAAGACTTTTAAACATACAAAATATCAAGCTCTTTTAAATACTATAGTCTTGATAAACTTACTTACCCATTACACACACAGATCCACATACAAAATCCTTTACCAAACTGGCATTTATAAGGCATTTGAGGATCTAACTTATTACCTAAAATACATTTACATTCAGATTTTGAAAACAGAAATAACTTTCCATTAAAGTTAATTAACAAACCAAAAAAAATAAATAAATTCTAAATAAGAGAAAAAAGGTTCTAAATTTTTTCACTTCCAGAAAAAGATTGTCATCTTTATCTACATTTGCTCACCAAAATGAGCAATAGTGCTGGGCATGTGCACGCCTGTAATCCCAGCAGCTCAGGAGGCTGAGGCAGGAGAATCATGAGTTCAAAGCCAGCCTCGGCAAAAGTGAGGCACTAAGCAATCCAGTGAGACCCTGTCTCTAAATAAAATACAAAATGGGGATGTGGCTCAGTGGTTGAGTGCCCTTGAGTTCAAACCCCAGTACCAAAAAACAAGCAAATATTTTCAAGAGACACTGTCCTAAATACCCAGGACATAAAATGGGAACAGAGATAGTGAAATGAAGAGAGAGAATTTCCTAGTCCCCAAATTTGTCCCTCCTTTTTAAGCCATGAAAAAAGTCACAGGTCTAATCATATTTTGAAAGGCATGTAAATTTAGTTATAGTCACAAAATTAGTAAGGACTAGTGAAGCACAGCATCTTTTTAAAATATTTTTTTTAGTTGACAATGGGCCTTTATTTCTTATTTATTTTTATGTGATGCTGAGGATCGAACCCAGGGCCACACATGCTAAGCAAGCGCTCGACCCCTGAGCCACAACCTAGCCCAAAGCACAGCATCTTTTAAAATAATAAATTAAAAGGTTTAAACTACAGGGAGAAGAGAACCCAGGTCTGAGTCTTAAGCCTGCCTCTGCCACTCGCCAGCCTTGTGTCCCTCACAAGCTGCCTGTCTGTTGGGGCTTTAGTGTCATCATTTTAAAACGCGAGCCTCACATCTCTTTCCCTGGGTTGGTTGGAGATGAGATGAATTTGAGAATCATGAAGTGCTACATAAATGAAGGTGACTGTGTCAGTGCTACGCCTGCCCGGTTTTATATGTTCCTCTGTCAGGAGAGTCACAGGAGCAAGCCCTGGTTATTCTTCACATGTTCTTGGTCACTGCTTACTCAAGATCTTTTAAAGAAACAGAAGCTCATTTCTGCAAAATTAAACACCCTGTGGCCCATGGGGACAACGTAGGGTTGGCACACAGGAACAGCCATAGGCAGAGGCACAGCCAAGTGGCCACTATTTCTTGTTGTCCTGGGGAGCACTAGTCATGGCATACACATGTGCACTCTAGAGAATAAACACCACCTTAGTGAAATTTGAAGGAATGAATCTAAGTAGTTTTTTTGCGGGGGTTACCAGGAATTGAACTCGGGGGTACTTGACCTCTGAGCCACATTCCCCAGCCCTATTTTGGATTTTATTTATTTAAGTAGTTTTTTGCGGGGGTTACCAGGAATTGAACTCGGGGGTACTTGACCACTGAGCCACATTCCCCAGCCCTATTTTGGATCTTATTTAGAGACAAGGTCTCAATGAGTTGCTTAGTGCCTCGCAGTTCCCGAGGTTGGCTTTGAACTCAGGATCCTCTGCCTCAGCCTCCCAAGCTGCTGGGATTACAGGGGTGCGCTACCATGCCCAGCTCTTCTAAGTGTTTTTTTTTTTTTTTTTTAAGTTGTAGACAGATACAAAATACCTCTATTTTATTTATTTGTTTTTATGTGGTGCTGAGGATCGAACCCAGGGCCTCACACATGCAAAGCAAATGCGCTACCAACTAAGCTGCAACCCCAGCCCCCTAAGTGGTTTTTGTATGTTTGTTCATTGGTACTAGAGATTGAACCCAGGGGCACTTCACCAGAGTCATGTCCCAGTCCTTTTTTTTATATTTTATTTAGAGACAGGGTCTTGCTAAGTTGCTTAGGGGCTTTCTAAGTTGCTGAGGCTGGCTTTGAACTTGTGATCCTCCTGCCTCAGCTTCCCAAGCTGCTGGGATTACAGGTGTGCGCCGCCACCTGGCTCTAAGTGTTTCTTAACTGAAAACAGAAGGAAAGGCATCTCTGGACCAAGGCCTAATGTCCCATATAGTTTGTGCAATCCAAATATCTTTGTGGGCTAAGTATTAAGTCCTCAATTCCCAAGCATAAGACACACATGTCAATTGAGAGTGGGACGAGGAAACCCTCTGTCCTGACAAGAAGGAACAAGATACTTCCTAAGAACATGGAAGAATTCTTGGGCAGGCTACTCTTGAGAAGGTTTGCTTTTATTTTTAGTTTTTAGTTTAGTTTTGTTTTTTTAATAAGCAAAAAATCATGCCACTATGTAGCCTGCATCTATTCAGTACTCTGCAGCACCACCCTGGATGGGATGTGGCTCTTGGTGACTGCACACACTACACTCATTTGGTAGAAGGTGAGTCACAGAATCATCCTAGACAAAAATGGCATCTTTAAAAGAATAAAGACTATCAGGATGTATGAGCATCAGGCTTCTGACTGTGTTATTTCTGCAGGCCAAGTTCATCCTTACTCAAAAGTACCAGAAAAATTATACTAGGTTCCATTTGAATATCATTTAAATATAATGGAAGGAAATTAAATAATAGAGCTAATTTTTATTAAAAAGTAAATAAAACATTTAAACTGGTGTTACCCCCTGTAATTGAAAAATCAACATTTTAATATAATTTATATGCAGAGCAATTACTAAATGTAAAATTACAATGTTTTTAGTTACTGAAACTAGGAGGTAACTAGGAGGTAATATGAGACATTTGATTTTAGAACACTTTGAATAAATATAACTGAACATGGCTTAAAATTTTAATATCTAAAACTTCTGTAAATGAATTTTCACAAATTATCAATTATCAGTACCAAACTATCACAATGCCATTTTCTGAATATAGAAAGGTAAATTTTTTTTTCTATTGCAAGTCCACACACACCATGTTCTGAAATTTTCCTTATTAAACACACACACATACACACACATACACACACACGCACACATCCAATATACATATAAGTAAAGCCTACCTCTTTTTCATTTCTAATAACTGATTATTGAGCACAGATCGTTCTTCTTCCAGCTGGGGGGGGAAAAAAAGAGAGAGAGTTCAGTTCCCACAGGTCCAGAGAGAGGCCTCTTCTTCACTCTACATGCCACATCCCTGGGCTCCAAGGGAAGAGAAACACTTGGCTCTCCTCACAGGACCTGAGGCCCAGCAAGAAGTCACTGCACATGGGATGCAGTTATTAATCTACAAATCACTTATGACCTGGTGATTCCTTCCTCCTGGACTTCAGATTTAAAAATATTAAACAACAGCACCTTGAACATGGACATCTTAAGCTTTCAATAAGTGTGGCAACAGCTTTAATGAGTGACACAGCTCCACTACTAACACCATCATTCTTTTAGTTAAATCAGAGAGGTCCAGTGTCGCTAGCTAGCAGAGGAAAAGGAGCAGGTCCTCTGCTCTCAGTAGGCTTCACCTGACTTGCCTCTCACTTCAACAGTTGGTAAGGGGCTACTTTGTTCTAAGCACTTGACTATACATTTATAAAACAAGGAGGTCCCAAAATCTCCAGCAGTTCTTTCCTTCTTAAATCCTATTATTATTATTATATGAACCATAAAAAACCAAGATTCATATAATCTGTGAAAGAAGAGAACTGCTCTCAGTATGCACCATGCATCACCATTTTGCCAAATATCAATTTCAACTCACACTGTTAATAAAACAAAAGGGTGAAAAAGCTCTTATGAGTTGTTTTTAACCCAATGATACCTAAAGGTCATGTGATAGTTTCCAATAGTCCACAATTTAAGTTTCTAATTCTTCATATGTTATAATCACAATTAATTATGTATCAGGTATGTATGTGCTTTGTTATGAGGTCATCATATTTAAAACATTCTCACACATACATACACATATGGATTGAATATAACTGTACATTCATCATGAAGTCTAGAGTCAACATCCAGGCTTTTCACTGTTGTCTCTACTTTCCCCGTCCATTAAGATATATGCTTTTGCTGCATGAGTAATTCACAGAAATGCTTAGAGGAAGCAAAAAGAGGGGGAGGCGAACTTTAAAAATGAAATGAGAAGCATAACATCTGGAGAGTGGGATGTGGATGAGAAGGGCTTTCACTTTTGCTTTTTATTCAATTTATAGTTCTATGTTAAACATGAAGCCTATTTGAAAAATTATAACAGGGGCTGGAGAGGCAGCACACATGAGAGGTGCTGGGGATGAGTCCCCAGCACCAAAAAAGTAGAAGAAATACAAACTGCTAAATACAGCTAGAAGATAAAACACTGTTTTCTATAAAGATCAGTACAATGCTGGGCATGGTGGTGCAGGCCTCCCACTGGGGAGGCTGAGGCTGGAGGATCTTAAGTTCAGGGCCAGCTAGGGCAATTTAGAGGGATCCTGTCTCAAAATAAAAAGAACTGGGAATATAGTTCAGTTGTACAGTGCCCTGGGTTTAATCTCCAGTACAAACAAACAAACATATCAGTAAAGGACTGGAGCTGTAGTTCAGCGGTACAGTGCTCGTCTCTCATCATAAAGCAGTGGGTTTGATCCCCAGGTCCACAGAAACAAACAAAAAACCAAAACAGATCAGTATAGTAAGTACTAAACTTCTATAGCTTGGAAATCTGGGCACACTAATCTCCAAGGAAGAGGGAGAATCTCTGCACACTGTTTTTTCTTTATTTCATTCATTCATTTTTACGATACTGGGGACTGAACCCAAGGCCTTGCACATGCTAGGCAAGGCCCTAGCACTGAGCTATATCCCCACCCCTTTTCAATTTTATTTTGAGACAGGGCCTCACTATGTTGATGAAGCTGTCCTTGAACTTGCAATCCTGCCTCAGCCTCCCCAGTGATTGGGACTGTAGGTATGCACCACCATGCCTGGCTTGCATGTTGCTTTTTGTGGTACTGGATGATTTTTTCAAATGTTCATTTATAATTCAAATTTTTGTTTTTGAGTTATGTCGTGTCCTTTATCCATTTATACATTCATTATAAGCATTTTCCAACCTTAAATGTGTTGATTGTAAAAATATTTTATAATCAAATATAAAAATAAAAATATAATAAAAATATTTTTAGGGGCTGGGGTCGTGGCTCAGAGGTCGAGCACTTGCCTATCATGTGAGGCACTGGGTTCGATTCTCAGCACCACATAGAGGCAAATAAATAAAGGTCCATTAATAACTAAGAAAAATATTTTTAAAAAATATTTTTACTGGGCTGGGGATGTGGCTCAAGAGGTAGCGCGCTCGCCTGGCATGCGTGTGGCCCGGGTTCGATCCTCAGCACCACATACAAACAAAGATGTTGTGTCCGCTGAAAACTAAAAATAAATAAATATATATATATATATATTTTAAAAAAATATTTTTACTTCTTGGAACCAAAGATCAAACCCAGTGCCTTGTGTGTGCGCTCAACCACTCCTATTAATGATTTCTAACTTCACAATACTGTGGTTAGAGAACATACATTGCAATGTTTCAAATTCACTAAAAACTATTTTATGGCCTAATATGTATTCTATCTTGGAGAACGTTCCATGTGAGGTGTGAAGAATGTGTCCTCTGCTGTTGGGGGACAGAGCGCTCTACAGGCCACTGCTATGTCTAGCAGTGTTCCATTTCCTTGTTGGTCTTCCGTGTGGTTGCTTATCCATCACTGAAATAGGGAGTACTGAAATCTCCAACTGGCATTGGTGAACTGTTTCTCCTTTATGGTTCTATCGGGTTTGCTTCATGTATCTTGAGGCTTTGTTATGCAAAGCAGGTGTTACATCTTCTTGAGGACTGACCTTTTCGATCATTATCAAAAGTCATCTTGTTTCTAGTAACAACTTTGGCTTTCTAGTCTATTTTGACTATTAGTACAGACTCTCCAGGTTGCTTCTAGTTACCGTTTATGTGGTAGATCCTGTTCCGTCCTTTTAGTTTCAGCCTCTTTGGATTTCTAAATATAAACTATGTCTTACAAACAGCTAGTTAAACCATGGTTTTAAAAAATCCATTCTGCCTGCTGATATTGTGATGCACACTGTAATCTCAGCTTTCAGGAGGCTTAGACAAAAGGATCACAAGTTCAAGGCCAGCCTGGGCAACTTTGAGACTCTGTCTTAAAATTTAAAAGGGCTGCAAACATAACTCTGAGACAGAGAAACTGTTTTTTGAAAAAATCCATTCTGCCAGTCTGGGGCTGTGGCTCAGTGGCAGAGCACTTGCCTAGCACATGTGAGGCCCTGAGTTCAATCCTCATCACCATATAAAAAATAAATGAATCCATTCTGTCAGTCCCTACTCTTTAAATCAAGTACTTAATCCCTTTACATTTACTGTGGTTATGAATAAGGTTACATACTGTTTGATTCCATTTATAACCTACTAGAAAAGTCAAAAACTATGGGGCCAGAAAAGAGATAAGGGATTTGGAAAGATGAGATGGTGACTACTTTATAGGCAGCATGAGAAAACCTCTTGGGGTGAAGGAAATCCTAATTGTAAGGTCAGTTATATGACTATATATATTCATCAAAACTCACCAAACCCCATACTTACGAAGGATGAATTTTATGTAAATTTGACCCCAATAAACAAAACTTGGAGGTAAAACAAGTTCAAATAATTTGTACAATATAACTTTTATTAAAAAATATAACTATGTGGGGCTGGGGATGTGGCTCAAGCGGTAGCGCAATCGCCTGGCATGCGTGCGGCCCAGGTTCGATCCTCAGCACCACATACAAACAAAGATGTTGTGCGCCGAAAACTAAAAAATAAATAAATATTAAAAAAAAATAACTATGTATATGTGTGCATTTGTAAATGCTGCTAAACACATAGCAAATAGTAAGAAGCAGGACATAAAATCAACATAAAAAAAATCAATACTTTTCCTATACACCAATAACAAATTTGCTGAAAAAGAAAACAAATACAATTCACAGTAACCTCAAAACAACAATAATAAAAACCCAGGAAACCCCAACCAGGGAGGTTAAAGACCTCTACAATGAAAACTACGGACACTGAAGAAAAGAAATTGAAGAAGACCTTAGAAGATGGAAAGACCTCCCAAGTTCTTGGATATGTAGAATTAATATTGTTAAAATGACTATATTATTAAAAGCAGTCTACAGATTCAAAGCAATCCCCACTGAAATACCAATGACATTCATCATAGATTTAGAAAAAACAGTCCTAAAATTTATTTGGAAAAATAAAAGGCCCAAAAGAGCCAAAACAATTCTAAGCCAAAAAAACATTGCTGGAGGCATCACAATACCTGACTTCATATTACATTACAAATTTATAGTAACGAGCCGCATGGTACTGGCATAAAAACAGACACATGACCAATGGTACAGAACAAAAGACACGGAAACAAACGGCACAGATAAAGACATCTGATCCCTGACAAAAGCACCCCAAATATACACTGGAAAAAAGACAGCCTTTTCAAAAATGGTGCTGGGAAAACTGGTTACCCATATGTAGGAGAATGAAAGTAGACTTTTCTCTTTTTTAAAACCATGGTTTAACTGTAGCTGTAAGACAAAGTTTATCTCTCTCATCCTGCACAAAAATTAACTTGAAATGGACTAAAGACCTAGGAATTGGAGCAGATGCAACTCTTAGAAGGAAATGTAGGGTCAACACTCCAACATATAGACACAGGCATATAGCCTTCCTCAATAGGATCCCTAAGCTCAGGAAATAATACCAAATATAACAAATGGGATGGCATCAAACAAGAAGCTTCTGCACAGCAAAGAAAACAATTTACACATGAAGACAGAACCCACAGGATGGGAGAAAATCTTTGCTAGCTACTCTTCTGACAGTATTAATATAGAGAATATACAAAGAATTCAAACTTAACACCAAAAAAAACCTAATTAATAAATAGGCAAATAAGCCAGACAGACACTTCTGAAAAGAAGTACAAAGGGCCAACAAATAATGAAGACTTGTTTAATATCTTTAGTAATTAGGGAAACGCAGATCAAAACAACACTGAAATTTCAGTTGAGTAATAG